GTGGGCTTGTTTTCATCAGGGAGCCTGAGACAGGCACTCTCTCTGTTGTTCACTTCTGGAGCTCAGGACAATGGCTTTTGTCCCCCTGTGTCTCTGCAGTGTGTAACCAAGTAGCTGCACAGCCAAAAGGCCAGAGGCCGGGGGTGGGGGGGTGTATTGTTGGAGGCGCCCTCGTGGCCAAGCCATCAGCTGGTGGGGCTGCCCAGGGAGCAGGGGGGTCCTCCTTATCCTGTCCTGGTGGCTGGTGGAAAGCTGGTGGAGCAAGCCAGAGCAAGCAGGTCCTGGTCAACCTGCAACCACTTGCCCCCACTTGGCCCTGCCGGCCGCTGTATTACTTTTTACAACTTCATGTGAATCTATAACAAACCAACAAAACCAGCTTTGGGGTGGGGGTGGCCACAGATTTTCTGAAACATGCTACCACAATGCATGGTTGTTCTATAAAGGAACTTTACCAGAAGATAAGTCATTTGTCTATAGGTAAATGTCCTATGCGTTAAGGAATACAGAGTCACCTTGCTTCTGAAACTAGGACCCGAACACATTCTGGCCAACTTGTGACACTCAGTCTGGAGTTGGCACTGACAGTTACTCTGATGTGTTAGTGCTACAGAATGTACAACGTAGGAGACCAATTGAAAGGAAAATTCCTAATTCTGCAGTGCCCTAAAAACCTCCTGGGTACTTAAAATGGTTTCAGTAATATGAAACGTTGATGTGTAAACTCAGTGATACAATTTTATGATGCTTTGGGTTTTTATAAAATCAAGATAAGACTCCTCATATCGTCATAGTTTGAAAAACATCTTTTACCTTTTCCCCCTAATTGTCATCTCTCTTGCCTCTTCTCTGTTCAACAAATGAGTCAAGGGAATCTTAATTTATTAAAATAGATTCATGTTACTTTTGGTGTTAAGAAAAAGGAAAGCACAATTCTGTGATCCAATGTACCTGCACACTTGGCATAGAATCCTCTCCAGGATTTGAGATTCCAGGGCCTTGTACCATGTGGATGATGAAGACATGACCTGCTCTCAAGGGAGCCAAGCAAGCCCTGCTCTTTGCCCTCCTATAGGTTTAAAATATATATATATATACACATATATATATATGTATATATATAATTTTGTCCTGTTGTTCTGGTAATATTCTCAAGTTATCTCGAAGGCCGTAATAACCACTTTTTAAGGGAATAAGGTAGAAGTGAGTTACCCCCTCACTTCAGGGGCACCTCAGGAGTGCAAAGGATCATGAACTGCATGCATCCTCATCTGCACCATTCACCAGGGGCACAGCTGCCCTAGACTTTGCTCCAAGGAATCCCAGAGCCGGATTGGTGCCTTGTACTCAGTCAGAGTTAGGAAGCTTTTGTAAGAGGCCCTGATTGTGGATACTCATATATAAGTTTGTCATTTGCTAGGTCTTTTTCATTCTCAGTGTTGTCCTTGGTTATCATCAGTGATTGGGAATGTTATGAACTTTTAGCTTATTTGGAGGTTGTCAATGGGATGGACCATGGCAGAATTTTTCTTCCTAATTGGTATTTTGAAAGTCAAAGCAAAATCAAGAAACATTTATTGATGACTTATTTTATATAGGGAAATGTGAGCAAGCAGCATAAACCCATCTCTTCCCTGCAAGTAGCTTGCAATCTACCAGCAAGACAAATATAAATAAGCTTAATACAAATATATTTAATTAAGAAATTAACTAATAGTACTACTTTGTAATAAAACTTGTGAAATAATAGTTGGCCCCATATTAAATAAATTATATTGTAGTACTTGGCCTGAGTTCAGTAGAGGAAGAGAATAATTCAAATTTTAGTTGCAAAAGGAAGGCCTGATAGAGACAGAAATGATGCAGGATGACAGCATCCATGCTAATGATGCTACTTCTAATTTTCTAAAGAAATAGACTACATCATTTAACTAGTCCTTACCACTCAGCATGTCTGTTGGCCAATGTGCTAATTTTCTAATTATTAAATTTTTTATTTCCTGGAGTAATTTCAAAATATTTTTTTCTCCCTTCCCTGGTTCTGCCAGTTCCAAATCCTATGTCACAGCTTGGTGGTTCTGCTGGAGAAAAGGCAAAGAACACTCCTGCTATACCACACAGGTGTCTTTGGTTTCAACTTTAGAAACTGTCCCAGTGAGGGAAGCTTCATGGGCTGTAGCCAGGAGAGAAATGGGGCAGATCACTTAGGGCTAATAAAACACTGTTCTCCTCCATGGGACGATGATGCACTCACTGTTTTCTGTGTGTGTCACTCTAAGATGGAGAAACTGAAAAGCCAGCTTAGACTCCTACAGGAGGTAAGAGTAAGACTTGCAGCATGTTCCTTTCCTTAAGTAAATGTCTTTTCAGACAGCCTGTCTGGCTTGTTAAACCCTTTTCTAGCCATGATTGGTCTATCACTGCTTGTGTATAAGCTAGAGCCCAAGGTAAACCCAGCACTGGGCAGACAGCTAGGGTCTCCTGTCTCCTGATTATTTCACAATCTTAGCATCTCTGCCCAGAGAAATGAAAAGGATGACCATATTTTCTGTAATCAGTACCGTGAAATCTATTTAAGGATTTGATTGGATTGATTATAATTCTTTTTTTTTTTTTTTTTTTTTTTTGTTACCGGGGATCAAACTCAGGACCTTGTGCTGAGCTAAATCCCCGGCCCAGATTGATTATAATTCTGCAAAGATAAAATGTCTTACTCCAGTTAAATAGAAATTTATGATATACATATTTTAAAATTCCCCTTGCTTCTAGAAATGCAATCCTTGGCAGTTTGATCCCACTTGTAAATATTAACATTTTCCCTCCTCTTTTGAAGGTTGCTGGACATTGAGAGTGAAATGATCACATTTGCTGCAATGTATGCTGGAATCGGTGTCGTAGTACTTATTCTGGGATATATTCAAGTTAGTAGCTCCTCTATTTTATTTAGAGATTAACATCTGGGCTCATGGACATTATGATGAAATGCAAATTGTTGTCTTTGTTATCTGAATAATCTTAGTAGCCTTGATTCTTTAAGAAGCCCTAAAAATCACAATTGTTTTTTGCTGAGGACATGAGAGAATGGGGAGAGTCTTCTCAGGAGACAGCTGAAGAGGTTACAAGAACTGTCCAGGGAGGTGGAGGTTGGGCTTTTAGTCATAACACCCTGACCTCCCTTCTGTCTCCTACTTCATCCTCTCTTCTGTGCTCAAAATGGACAGGTGTGGGTGTTTGTAAGGGAAGGCTGGGGACCCTGGAGAAAGCTGGGCATGCGGAGGTGACAGAAAGCAGTGTATTTGCTTTTTCTCTTTTATTGCTAAAATCTCACTAAACTGCCTTCCATCCCAAAGTCTGTAAATCTGAATCTAGAGCATATTCTTGATTTAGGCGATGGACAGGGTTACTTAACTCTTATTAAGGTAGAAAAATATTCATTTTTTGCTGCCTTTTGTAGAAAAATATAGTGAATCATTTTCCTCATTTATTCAAGAAGAATTATTCCAAGTAATGTTAGTTGTAAAGAGAAACAAATCCATTTTTTCCCATTCTAGTGCCTTTCATTACAGACTTGCTTTTTTTGTTGTTGTTAGGGGAAATCTATCAGCATATTAGATTCCCGACTTGTGTCATCATTTTTGTCTTGTTTCTCAAAAAACCATTGCCCGGAATCTGTACATGAATGCTTCCCCAGGGGAAAATTTCACTCAGAAGTGGTATGCAAAAAATAGCCACTTAAGAACAATAACATCTTATGTTTGGCAATGGGAACCATATTTTACTCATGTAGAGAGTGAAATTCAATATGGAAAATTCCAAAACTCAAGGGCCTGCTTACAGGTAGAGCTGGCTCCAAAGCCAGATCTCTGGTCTGGCTCTCCATTGATGTTCTACTCCAATGACCTCTCCAATGATGTTCTACTCACCTTCACCTTCAGCAGCAGGTGCCAGAGCTCAGGACTTAGTTCCCAAGAAGAGGCATTTTGTGGAGTATTTGTTTTAAAAACCACTGTTTGGAAACTGTCTGCTTCTGAAAAGAGAAGAAATTAACAAATATTTTTAGTATCACAATGCTAAAGACTGCCTTTGTCCATTTTCAGATATGCTTTTGGGTAATTGCTGGAGCTCGCCAAATAAAAGAAATGAGAAAAGCATACTTTAGAAGAACAATGAGAATGGAAATTGGATGGTTTGATTGCAACGCTGTGGGAGAGCTGAATACAAGATTCTCTGAGTAAGTGGCTGGCAGAACAATGTTGTAATGTGTCATTTTTAGAATAAAACTGTTGTTTTTAAGTTCAGTAACAATTTGAAAACATTTTCATTGGATTTGGTGTGCACTGTCTCTATGGCATTTGCATAGGCAATGCCTTATAAATATGGTTATTAAATATTGAAAGCTGTGGTGCTGCAGTTTGATTTACAGATCCTTGATCAAAATGTTAGAAATGAAATATTATAGAAGAGTATTTGTTAGAATAGGATCATTTGGCCTCAGAAAGAGAAACTGAGGGATGGCTATGTGTAATGGAAAAACAGTATAACTAGAAACAATGATCTTGCTACCAATGTGGAGGCAATTTCTGAACCCAAAACAAAAACAAAAAATTCAAAAGTAATTTGAGAAAGATTCAAATAAAAAAAAACTGGATTTCAATCCAATTTATACCCAAATACATTTTGCATCATTGATAGCCCCCCTCTGAAATTCTAACGAGGCCTCAGTAATTAAAGCCAGTTGAATCCTGCTGAATTGAACACTGAGACCCAGGAAAGACAGTCAGTGTATAGTAAATATAAAGTAGAATGAAAGATTAGACCTCTGGATTCCAGCACTTACTCTGCCCATTACTTACTGTGACCTTGAACAGACAGGTAACCTTGCTAGAACACAATGGTCTAATCTCTGGGTAATGTCTTACATCCTTTCTTGCTGTCATATTCCAAGCCCTATTTACTCCTTCTGAACAAGAGTTAAGGAAATGTTCTTAGGCATATGAATCTAATGTAGTTCCAGTGTACTTACCTTATACTCCTGCATTTAAGGAACTTACAACCTAGTAGGAGGGATAAGAGAAGCAGGCAAACAAACACTTAGAGCTAACATGAATTGCTTATTACCTGATAGGCACTGTTCTACTTGCTTTATGCACACTAATTTAATCCTTATTACTACCTACTAGGGTGGGTTCTGTTATCTCATTTTATAGGTGAGAAAACTAAAGCACAAAAAATTTAAGTAAATTTCCCCAAAAGAGCTTGTATTCAAATCCAGAGAATCTGGGTTCTTAGCCACTGTTTTCTACTGCTTATAAGCAGAATGCAATAATTACACATATATATGCACATGTGTATGTACCAATTAATTATGTTGCTATGGAAACACAGGAGGATATTACTTTTCCCTGGGGATTATCCAAGATTGATGAATGAGGTGGTATGTGAATAGAATCTTGAGTCAGAAAGGATTTAATAAGAATGAAGAAGGAAAGAAGGACACTTCAGGATAGACCAGAGCTATTAGCTATAGAGAAAAAAAGAAGAAAGACAAAAAGTGGTTTTCAAAAGCCTTTATCAACATTGAATGGACATCATGTAGGAAAGGTTAGTTAAGACAAGGTGAGTTGGCCATAGCAGAAAGGCTTGAGAATATCCCAAGGAGCAGCAAATTCGCCAGGAGTTGGGAAGCCGTTGTGTTACAAAGAATGGAGTGTTTAGGAGGGAAGAAGTGAAAAGTTTCAGCAAGACATTTGAATTGATCAAATTCAGTTTTTAGTGGTCCAACTTTCTCTTGTTCCAGTGATATTAATAAAATCAACGAGGCTATTGCTGACCAAGTGGGCATTTTCATTCAGCGCATGATGACGGCCATCTGTGGGTTCCTGTTGGGATTTTACAGGGGCTGGAAATTGACCCTGGTTATTATTTCTGTCAGCCCTCTCATTGGGTTTGGAGCAGCCTTCATTGGTCTGGTAAGCACGTCTTTTTGCTTCTCTCCATGAGAACACATTTGCACCCATTAACAGCCCAAAATATACAGTTTGATTTTCTTCTGCTGAGACTGTTTAGTCAATATAATTATCACTATTTTGATATAGTCTGTTTGATTATTCCCCAGGATCAAATAACATTTCAAAGAGGTGGAATTAATTATATTTAAATAAGGTAAATATTATTTTACTAATAGCAACCAAGTACATTTATTGAGCATCTTCTATTTTTCCAAGCACTATTAAGAGCTTTATATTCATCATTTCCAATCCTTACTATAATCATATAAAGAAAGCAATAATACCATTTTAAATATAAGAAACTGAGACTCAGAGAGGTAAAAGGGCTTATCTGGGACTGTACGGCTGGCAGAATAAGATTCAGGTTCCATGGAACTTGACTCCAAACACCCACCCATTCTTTAACTTATGGCCCATGTTTTCCCTATTTCAGATGCTTCCCTCAAAAAAGCACAACAAATATACTCAGATCAGTAATAAGTGGATGAAAAAGATTTCTCCAGTCTTAGCTATGTTCTCCATTCCATCTGCTCAGTTTCAGAGAGAGGTTATCTGACCCATTTTGAATGTTAATCCTGCTACCATCTCTGTTCCTCAGCTATTCAGGCCAAGACAAAGTGTAGAAGTAGAAATCTGGGGCCACTCCAATTAAAAACACTTCCAAGAACAGTGAAATTGGGCTGGGGATTTAGTTCAGTTGTTCCGGTGCCTGCTTCGCAAGCACAAGGTCTGGAGTTCAATCACTGGTACAAAAAAAAAAAAAAAGAACAGTGAAATTATTTTTTATTTTTAGAGCAGTCGCATTAGATAGCAGGTTATAGTATCAGACATACCAGTAATTTATCATAATAAATGAGAATAAAGTTTGAGTTAAAGCTACATGGCACTTAAATATCATTGAACAACAGGTACCTATCTCCATGACAATATTTTCTAGCAGAATAGTCTGACAATGCACTGGCTATGTTGCTTAAACATTCTCTGAATAATACAGAAAATAAATGAAAGTGATAGTAGCAAAGGGCTCATTCCACTTACTCTATTACCACCTGCTCTACCACTAACACATCTGTGTGACTCAAGAACAACTCATTCAAGCCATCAAACCCCCAGTTTCCTCCTCTTGAAAATAGAGATAATCATTGTGATGATTCGGGGCATAAGCCATGTTATGCACTTAAACACAGCACCTGGCCCAGAATTAAGTGCCAAAGAAATCTTTTATTAGTATTTTTACCAGTCTGCTACATCACACCAGGTTCACAAACAATGTTTCCTATCAATCACTTTCTAGCTTTGCTCCAGGAATCCTCAACCTCCACCGTAGGGTGTCAGGGGCTCTGCAAGCATTTGATTCTTCTTCCCACCCCCCAAATACATATAATCTCTTTCTTCAGATCTGGGATAAATTAATAAACACATGCCAGGGGATCATATGTCATGTTTTAACACGTTGGAGACTAAAAGCATTGCCAGATTAACTTAGTTTTAAGCACATTTAAGGGTATAGTTTCTCTCCTCACGTCAGCACCCATATTCTAAGGTCTTGTACATGTGTTACTGATGTGAAATGTTGGAGCTCCACACTTGTCTCTCCATGCATGTTAGTTCCTGTAAAATGATATGAGCAACTTAACTATGACTCAAGTCAAAGGTAGGACACACACACACAAAAAGATAAAGACAGGCAACATATGACATATTAGAAATTGTTGTAGGCTTTATATGCCTTTGTCAGACTATAATTTAGTCTCTACAGTTCAGGCAAAATGGTGTACTATTTGCCTAAAGCTTTTATCTCTGGAATTACCTCTGCATTATGTTATGCCTTTGCATGCTCTGATTCTCTCTCTCATTTTATACTCCAATCAATTATGCTGTCCTCATGAATCCCCAGCCTTTGCCTTTGGTATTTGTCTCCAAATTGTACAGTGGTTTCTGAATAATGTTCATGAGAAACAGGAGTTTGGGATCTCAGTCCAAATCCAATGAGAAACATGAACATTGTTAGATATTTCCTAATACATATTTCTAAAGCTTCTGGACCAGTTTAACTGAAGTGTTCTCAGATTAATCAATGTGCCATACCAAACAGATATCACTCAGAACCATTTAATTTTCTCATTGCTGTGCCGCAAATGCATATTCCAGGAATCAATTAGATCAAAAGTGTGATAAAAATGATGGTGTTGTTCATAATGTCCAATTGCAAATTTTGTACTATTGTACAAATTTTTGTACAAATTTTGACAAATGGTGTACTATCTACCTAAATCTTTTTTTTGGGGGGGTCTGGAATTACCTCTGCAATGTTATGCCTTTTCATCCTCTAATCCTCTCTCTGATTTTATACTGCAACCAACCATAATGCCCACGTGGGTCCCCAGACTTTACCTGTGGTGTTTGTCTACAAATTGTGCAATCTTGTCTGGCTAGTAGCAATGAAATATGACATGATTTGACTTGGGAACCTCATTAATATAATGGCTAAAAGACTTCAGTGTTACAGAATTACCTATTTGGTTTAGTTCTTTCTCTTGTGTTATGCACATGTTTACTTTTGTTAAATGAATTATTGAATGATAGGCTAACTTACCAGTAAGTCAGTTTTCACTTCTTTTGGATTTTAGAGTGTGGCCAAGTTCACGGACCTTGAGTTGAAGGCCTATGCCAAAGCAGGGTGTGTGGCTGATGAAGTCATTTCATCTATGCGGACAGTGGCTGCTTTTGGTGGTGAGAAAAAAGAGGTTGAAAGGTTGGTTAAATGTCCATTGCTTTCCTGAATTTCACCAGTGTACCTTGTTTTGTACAAAGTGGAAGATCCACAGTAAACCAAGGGAGCATTATTCAAGAGATAGTTAAATGCAGTAGTTTAGGGGGATCAAAACACTACAAGAATCCCTAAAACTTTAGCAATGTGTTTTTGAGGATATTGCAGCTGATGAGTTTTTTGAAAGCCAATTTAGGTTAGATATTCATTTCAACTTTGATGATGTGTGTATGCCATATAGTAAACTTCAAGCCAGTCTTTAACACTGTTTATTGCCATCAAAGAAAAGTCTACATGTGATACTACAACTCTGAAACACTGAAACCACAGGAATACAAAGGATCTAACAAGTTGGATAACCTACAAGAAATGGATGTACAGTATTCTTAGAAGCATACATTGAACCATGAAGAAATAGAATTGAACAGACTACTAGTGCCCAAGGAGTGAGTCAGTAACAACAATAAAAAGTCTTCTATCAAAGAAAAAACCAGGACTTAATGGTTTTACTGCTGAATTCTATAAAACATCTAAAGAAGAACTAATACTAATTCTTAAAAAGTTCACTTTATAGTTCTAGAATTATCCTAACACAAAGCTAGAAAAGGATACTACTAGAAAAGAAAATTATATGTCAATATCTCTGATGAACATAGATGCAAAAATCCTCAACAAAATATTAGCAAGCCAAATTCAACAGCACATTGAAAGGATCATTCCCCACAATCAAATGGAAGTTATCCCTGGAATGCAAGGATGTTTCAACATAAATCAATAAATGTGATACATCACGTTCACAGAATGAAAGACAAAAACCATAAGACCATGTCAACAGATGCTAAAAAAAGCGTTTGGCAAAATTCAACATGCATTCATGACAAAAACTCAACAAATTTGTTATAGAAAGAAGGTGCCTCAGTTCAGTAAAGGCCACATATGATGATCCTACAACTAAATGAAAGTCAATGGTATGAAAGCTTTTCCCTTAGATCTGGAGCAAGATAAGGATGCCCACACTTTCCACTTCTATTCAACATGGGGAATAGAAGGAAATTAAAAGAATTTAAACCAGAAAGGAAGAAGGTCAGTAGTCTCTGTTTTTAGATGACATAGTGAAAATCCTGAAGGCATCACCAAAAATCTGTGAGATATAATAAACAAATTCAATAGAGCTTCAAGATACAAAATCAATAAATAAAAATAAGTAGCATTTCTATACACTAGCAAGTGAGAAATAACCTAATTTACAATAGGTACAAAAATTTAAAATATTTAGGAATAAATTTACCAGGTCTATATACTGAAAACTATAAAACCATTTATAAAATAAATGGAAAGAACACAAATGGAAAGCTGTCCTGTGTTTATGGATTGAAAGAATGACTATTGCAAAAATCTCAATACCCCCTAAAGCAATCTATGGTTTCAATGCAATCTTTACCAAAATTCCAATGAAATTTTCCATAGAAATAGGAAAAATATCCTACAATTTATAAGGAACCACAAAATATTCCAAATAGCATGAGCAATGTTGAGCAAAAGGAACAAAGTCAGAAGCATTATCTAATCTCAATATCTACTATATTTATCTAATCTCAATACCTACTATATTTATTGCCACTATACCAGCAATAAAAGCAGCATAAAACATACACTTGTGTACCAATGGTACATAATAGAGTCCAGAAATAAATCCATTTATTTAGAATCAATTGATTTTTTAAAACTAATATTAAGAATATACAAAGTGAGGAAACTGGGGGACGCCGCTGGGAGGGGCGTGGGGCTCCTCTACGCAGCTGCCTCTTCCAAGCCCTTCCTCCCGGGGTCTCCTTCCCGTTCTCGATGCTTCTCTGAATCCGGGCTTCCGCCGCAGCCCTCCCTCGACCCATGACCCGCCCCCGGCTCCCCGCCCGCCCGGCGCGACCTCCGGTGGGCGTAGTCAAAGGGCTGTGTCTGAGCCGCTGGAGCCCCGAGGACCATCCAGACGCTGCCGGACCGAGCACACGCGGACACCGAGGTCCGGGACAGCACGGACCATGGCGCTGAAGCGGATTAATAAGGAACTTAGTGATTTGGCCCGTGACCCTCCAGCACAATGTTCTGCAGACCCAGTTGGGGATGACATGTTCCATTGGCAAGCCACAATTATGGGACCTAATGACAGCCCATATCAAGGTGGTATATTCTTTTTGACAATTCATTTTCCTACAGACTACCCCTTCAAACCACCTAAGGTTGCATTTACAACAAGAATTTATCATCCAAATATTAACAGTAATGGCAGCATTTGTCTCGATATCCTAAGATCACAGTGGTTTCCTGCTTTAACTATTTCTAAAGTTCTTTTATCCATTTATTCACTGCTATGTGATCCAAACCCAGATGACGCCCTAGTGCCAGAGATTGCACGGATCTATAAAACAGACAGAGACAAGTACAACAGAGTATCTCGAGAATGGACTCAGAAGTATGCCATGTGATGCTACCTTAAAATCAGAATAACTTACATTATAGCTGGAATTAACTTTAAATTACTGTTCCTTTTTTGATTTTCTTATCCGGCTGCTCCCCTATCAGACCTCATCTTTTTAAATTTTATTTTTTGTTTACCTCCCTCCATTCATTCACATGCTCATCTGAGAAGACTTAAGCTCTTCCAGCTTTGGACAATAACTGCTTTTAGAAACTGTAAAGTAGTTATAAGAGAACAGTTGCCCAAGATTCAGAATTTTTTTTAAAAAACGGAGCATGTGTATTATGTGGCCAATGTCTTCACTCTAACTTGGTTATGAGACTAAGCCATTCCTCACAGCTCTAACTGCTGAAGAAGCCAGCTAAGGGAGGGAGATGGATGCTCGGTTGTCACGGCAAGGAAGCAGCATTATTCTAGCAGCATCCATTCTTGTTAAGCCTTCCACTGTTAGAGATTTGAGGTTACGTGATATACTTTATGCTCATAACTGATGTGGCTGGAGAATTGGTATTGAATTTATAGCATTGGGAGAACAGAAAATGTGATGTATTTTATGCATGTCAGTAAAGGAATGACCTGTTCTTGTTCTAGAGAGAATGGAAATTGGAACTCACACACCTTTTGTATGCCAAAGTAGGGTCTCAAAACATTTTGTAATTTTCATTTAAATTGTTAGGAGGCTTGGAGCTATTAGTTAATCTATCTTCCAAAACACTGTTAAATATAGCACTGAGTAAATGATGCAAGTTGTCAATGGATGAGCGATCAACTAATAGCTCTGCTAGTAATTAATTTATTTTTCTTCAATAAAGTTGCATAAACCAGTGAAAAAAAAAAGAACACACAATAAGGAGAGGACAGTCTCCTTAATAAATCCAGTTGGAAAAACTGAATATCTACACGCAAAAGAATGAAATTAGAGCCTGTATCTCCCTTCATACATAAAAATCAATTAAAATGGATTAAGGACTTAACTATAAGACCTAAAACTATGAAGCCACTAGAAGAAAACATAGAAGAACATTGGAATGGGCAAATATTTTTGGATAAGACACCCAAAGCACAGGAAATAAAAGCAAAAATAGGCAAATGGAATGGCACCAAAGTAAAAAGCTTTTGTACAGCAAAGGAAACAACAGGGAAAAGACAACCTGCAGAATGAGAGAAAATATGGGCAAACTATACCTCTAACAAGAGATTAACTATTTAGCTTCTTGGTTATTGGGTAGATGGGTGAGCAGATGTAGAAGAGTTAATGTGAACTCTAGTTTTAAGACTGGGGGGCTGGAAACACCCAATAGGGTCTGATCTGCTTATTTGAAGACAACTGCATTGTTTTCTGATAGGAAACATGATGCTATATGATGCAAGAAAATAATTCAAACACAAATAGTAGATCCATCATGTCTCAACATATATGTTACAAGCTTACACCATGGCTATTCATCCAGCTACAGTCAATTCACCTTGTTATGTGTCATCCTTTCAGTATGTTTCATTGCCAGGTTCAAAGGAACTTTGAGTGACTATCCCAAGGGTATTGTGGGTTTCTTTCCCTGCAGCTGCTTTGTGCTTGGGGTGGCTTTATGGTCACTGAGTAAAGCCCCTACATTGTGGCCCGTTTGCTGAGATTGACCTAAACATTTTCCCTTCCACAGGTACGAGAACAATCTTGTGTTTGCCCAGCGCTGGGGAATTAGAAAAGGGATGGTGATGGGATTCTTTACTGGATACATGTGGTGTCTCATCTTCTTTTCCTATGCACTGGCCTTCTGGTATGGCTCCCAACTCGTCCTGGAGGAGGGAGAATATACACCAGGAACCCTTGTCCAGGTACTTTGATCTTGTCAACCTAAACATAACCATTTCCTGCTTGTATCTCAGGAGAGGCCACTGATTAGACATGTGCTTCATTCCTTTAGTATCTGAGGGAGTAGGAGTCCATCTACAGGAACAACAATATTAAGCATTTATAGCATTTGGATTGATAAGACTAGCATTTTAATGATCCCCAATTAACTGAAGACTTGGTAGCCAGAAAATGATGATTTGTTTTGGTTGAGTCCAAAAGATAATAATGCCATGAAAATGGAAAGTCAGTTGTCTTTTGGCTAAAAATTCACAAATTATATGATTTAATTCAATAATAGTACAAGAGCTGTGCCTAATGGACATATTTGTGAAACATGAGTTATTGAACTCTCAAGCCAGTAATACCCCCAACTGAACAGAAAATGCAAACATATTCCATTACTCACTTGTGCTATGGTATACCATTGCTAATGTCATACCTACTTTAATTTTCAGTGTCCTTTTAGTTATTCATTCAACAAGTAATTATTGAGCATCTACTATATGCTAGACTCATCCAAAGTGCAGGAAATTCAGCAGTGGCAAAAAAAATGTGGGTTTTTTTTTTTTTTTGCCCTAATTGTTTTCACAGTTTTGTAGGAAAGGCAAGCGATAATTAATCCTATACATAATGCCAAACAGGAACCTGAACTAGAAAGTAGAGGACAGGACCCTTGACAGTGAAGAGAAAGATAACAAGGTGTGGATGGGTCAGGGAAGGCTGTTCACTCTGTTCCTTCTCCAGGGCCTTTCTTCCTCAGCCTATGGCTGGCCTGACCCACTCTGAGTCATTGTTTGGATTCTAGCTGAGTGGCCTTCTACACTGTCCTATGGCATCTGTACTTCTCCTTTAGAGTATTTGTATTACACAGAACATTTGCCTGCACTGACACTTGGTCCCACTTCTTTCTGCCCCCGTGGAGTAAGGTCAAAGTAAAATATTGATTTCATCCCAGAGGATGGGAAATCACTTCACTTCAGATTCTTAAATAAAGTGGGGTGTTTTTTTTTGCTTAAATTCTTTTATTGGTACAGTTTAGGTATACAATTCATTTACATTTATCATTGGGTACTTGTACCTGTACATGATACATCTCGGTTCTTATTTTTTCCCCATTACCTGTGTGCCCTTCACCCCCTCCACCCTTCCCTATTTACAAAGACTTTGTTTCCATTTTTTTCTTTTCTCATAATTTTTCCTTTCCCTTCTTTCCTTTCCCCTTCCCCTCCCACTTCCCCTACCCCTTTGGATCTTTTCTTCCTATTTCAAATTATCAATTATTCATTTTAATCATTTTAATCCTTATTAAATAAAATGTTTTGATTGAAGATTCTGGTTGGAACAGGAACAATTAAACTATAAAAAAATCAAAATCTTTTATATCAGAAATTTGCTAGCTGATGCTATAATTTGAGACCTACTGCTTTAATATAAACACATATTGGGCCAGGGATTTAGCTCAGTGGTTCTGCTGCCTGCCTTCTAAGTGCAAGGTCCTGAGTTCGATCCCCAGTACCAAAAAAAAAAAATAATAATGTAAACACATATCTGGGAAAAATTGAATAGGATTTTGATTTATGAAAGAAAAAAATGTAGCTCTTTCATGCCCCTCTTAAACTCCAGGTGTCAATAACAAAGATGATAGCAGAAACAGGGATAGGAGCAGCGTTCACGCAGTGTACATGGGTGTCAAGCACTGAGGGACTGTGTCATGTAGTTACATATATAATACAGCTTCATTCTGTGCTCAGTGTCAGTAGACTCCCACTTCAAAAATGAGGCTAAGAAATACGTGCCAAGTGGCATGGAGTGTGATTTGAACTCAGGTCTCTGCTACTCCAGGGCCTGACCCTTAACTGCTGTTTCCCGGACTTCCAGAGCTGTCTTCTGAGGGACTTGGAGCCGCCTTCCTTCAGCACAGCACCCACACAGTGCTCCCCTGCAGGCCCTCTTCCCTCTCTTCTGGCCATGGGTGGGATCATCAGGTTGAAAACTACTGGTCTCTTGGGACGGGTGTAGGCTACAGTTTCCATCTTGGAGGTGCTACTGGAGGTGCGCTGCATCTGTCTCACTCCTTTTCCAAGGACATCCAGATAACATGTGCCTGAGGCAACAGCTTTTAAAGCCTGACAAAGCAGGGGTTTTACCCCAGACCTCAACTGAAGCCTCCAATGAGTCAGCCAACTATGGCCCACAGGCCAAATCCAGTCTATTGACAGTTTTTTATCAATAACATAAACATTTATTTACCAACTGTCACAGTCGCTTTTGTTCTGCACAACAAAGGTAATTGTTTCAGGACCCATGTGGCTTGCAAGGCCCAGATTATTTACTCCTTGGCCTTTACAGAAGATGTTTTCTGACTGCTGTTGTAGGGCACAGGAAGGCTTTCTTTGCTGTGGTGGGAGGGCCTCTGATGAGGGCATCTTAAAGAATTTCAGACTCTGAGGAGTGTTCTGCCTGCTGCCTTACCACCTCCCTGTGTGGGACCTCAGTACTTTCTTCCACCTCATCATTTATGTGACTAGCGCTGGACTAATCATCTTTACACACAGTATCTCAGCCCTGTGAAGTATATATGCCCATGGTCCCTGTGTTATGATAAAGAAATTGGGGTTTGAACGATTAAGTAACTCACCACCGGCAGGAACCATCAGTCACAATGGAGGAAAAGGAACAAGGACAGATGAAGAGAAATCATTTGATAACCTGAAACAGGCTACATTCAAGTAGGAGTCAACCTTTATCTTGGCAGTCAACCACTGCCAATGAAATAGCCTCCCTGTGAGTCAGGGGATCCGGACCCATTCTTGAGTTGATGAAGAGGGGAAGCTTTGTGCTCCCTCTAGAGGTCAATTTGAGGAATTACTGCATTGCCTCTCCATAAACAGCATTGCTAAAAACGGTGCTCTTTAACAGGATCATCTGGGCATGAGCAGACTCTTCCCCCCAGGTCCTGAGCTTGGCTGTGTTGGTGAGTCAGGACAGCTTCTCCAGCTCTGCACAGGAACCAGATCACTCTACCTGCATGCAGCCGGCAGCAGGGGAGCTTGGGAACTACTCAGTATGGCACTGAGTTCAAGTACTGCTCTAGTAAATACATGTTGTGGTCTAGGGCAAGTTAGGAGACCTCCAGAGATGTCTGTTTCCTCTTCTGTTGTGAGGATTGTATGAAACACTTAAAATGTATCTCTTTGCTATTATCATTAGCAGTAGTATAGCAGCAGCAGGAGTAGTGACAGCAGTTATCTTAGTGACTAAGACACTAGTAGCAATAGTAGCAGATTGGCTTTCCATGTACCAACCTCTAGAACAGTCGAGCTGATCTTAGTGTCCTTATTATTTATGTTGCCCTTTAACTAGAAAATCATCAGAAGGCTGATTGTATAACAAATCAAATTATCTGATCTCTATTCCAATCCACTTCATGTGTCTCTGTTCCTTTGCTTATACCTCTTACTCATTTCTTCCACTTTGTAGGAGAGTAATTAATGTTCAGTAAAATATAATGTAGTCTTTTAAGTCATAACAGTGGGGGCACTGGAGATGCTTTACAGAACAAAACTATTCCAGGCACTTCCAGAGAGCCAAAGAGCTATTTAGCTTTCAAACTCTTGCAGAAGAATATTTCTGGGGAAAACTCAGTGTGCTCATGGGTGACCCAAATGGCAAGGAGCACTGCTTACAAACTGACAAAAACACATAGCAAAAAAGATGTCTCTCTTTTCATTTCAGGTCTTCCTCAGTGTCTTAATAGGGGCTTTAAATCTTGGGAATGCAACTTCTTGTTTGGAAGCCTTTGCCACTGGTCGTGCAGCAGCTGTCAGCATCTTTGAGACAATAGACAGGGTATGTAAAAGCCTGACTCAAAGGCCAGTAGAATAGGGGGTGGTGAATTTCCATAGGCATTTACCCTTAGAGTTCAAAATATGAGGATCTATCAACATGAAATACTTGCTGAATGTTGTCATGAGCAGGACCCAATTTCAAGAGCTGTAAATGCAACAATGAACTGAAACAAACACTCCCCACTCTCACTCTCAGATTGGGAGACCTGGACAAGGAAGTTTCCACATTCAAGTACAAGTGCTAAGTGTGACAAAAGAAATAACACAGAATAATGTGACCCAGGCACAGTGGTGCAGGCCCATAATGCCAGCTACTTGGGAGGCTGAAACAGAAGAATCACAAGTTTGAGGCCAACCTGGGCAATCTAGTGAGACACTGTCTCAAAATTAAAAAGAAATAGGCTTGTGATGTAGCTTGGCGGTAAAGGGCTTGCGTAGCATGTGTGTGGCCCTGGGTATAATCCTTAGTACTGCAAGGAAAAAACTGAGCAATGTGATCATGACTAGGGTAGGGGAAGAAATTTTTAAATTAGGTACATGGAAAATGAAAGCAGGGAAGGAATTTCTACAAGTGAGAGCTCCAGTCTATAGTGATCTCAAGGAGCAGAAAGAAGTCCAATGTGAATGAACAGGGTTGGAAAGGGCCTAAGGCTAGTGGTAGTAGTGACCCCTGAAACGTTACTGGAAACCTCAGCAATAGGATCTAGTCTCCTGCCCAGGCTACGACCCAGGCCAGAGAGAGAGAGAGAGAGAGAGAGAGAGAGAGAGAGAGAGAGAGAGAGAGAGAGAAGACATAACTAAGAGAGACTGAAAGCAGGGTGCCAGAACGACCAGTGCTGGTGCACCCCACAAAGGTGTTGGTCAGTCCAAGTCACTGATTTTTATTGGTAATCAGTTAGGGTAAAGGCGAACTGCATGCAAGGGCAGAACTACATGGAAGGATTTGAAGTTGTGCAGTTTCTATGGAAATTAATGTAAGCAAGGCTTGCGAAGGGCAAGAGAAAACATTCTTGAATTAGGAACAGAATAGACAAAATATATGGTTGTAATTAGAATACTGTCCATGTAGTAAGAAGGTTTTAGAGCCACGGTCCCGGCCTGCCCCACACAGGCCGCCGAGGGCCGCTCGGTGAGTCACTGCGCTGACTCCTCCCCGTCGCTTGCCTCTGGGACTCTCACGCCCGCCTGGAGATGGCGGTGGCGGCGGCGGCACAGACACATTCTCCGTGGAAGACCCGGTGCGGAAGGTGGCGGGCAGCGGTACCGCCGGCGGGGACCGCTGGGAAGGCGAGGACAAAGACGAGGACGTTAACGATAACTGAGACGATGATGAAGACAACAAAAAAGAGGAAGCAGAAGTAAAACCAGAAATAGAAATTTCAGAAAAGAAAAAAATAGCAGAGAAGATAAAAGAGAAAGAACAGCAACAGAAGAAAAGGCAAGAAGAAATTAAAAAGAGGTTAGAAGAACCTGAAGAACCTAAACTAACACTGGAAGAACAATTAGCAGATAAACTGTAGCTAAAGAAATTACAGAAAGAGTTAGACTTTGAATTAGCAAAAGAAACTTTTGGTGTTAATAATGCAGTTTATGGAATTGATGCTATGAATCCATCTTCAAGAGATGATTTCACAGAGTTTTGAAAATTACTAAAAGATAAAATTACACAATATGAAAAGTCACTGTATAATGCCAGTTTTTTGGAAGCCTTAGTTCGAGATGTGTGTATTTCATTGGAAATTGATGACTTGAAAAAAGATTACCAATTCATTGACTGTGCTTTGCAGTGAAAAACAGGAGCAAGAAAAGCAAAGCAAAGCCAAAAAGAAGAAGAAAGGTGTGGTTCCTGGAGGGGGATTAAAGGCCACCATGAAAGACAATCTGGCAGATTATGGTGGTTGTGACGGAGGATACGTACAAGACTATGAAGACTTCATGTGCCACTTTATCTTCTGGTGTCTTCTTTCTGTTGCCCACAATCCCTTCAACATGTAGCACAATTTCCTTTCCTTTCAGTTCTGCCAAATGCTACAATCAGAAGCGCAGTATCTTTTGTGCTGGTTACTCAACCCCTTGACACTTAGGTGCTAATGTGCAAATGAGGGAACTTGGATCTTGCTGCCAAGGGGTTAAAATCAGGAACCTCAGTTGCTACTAAATCACAGTTTAAAAACAGATCTAATGATGTTGTCATTGTTGCTGTATGATTTCATAGCAGCATTCACTAAATTGGAAACAAAGGTTGCAACATGACAAAAAATTACGTAGTATTTACCAGCACCATTCAGTAATACAGCCTTAACTATCCCTCCTTGAGGTACTTCATAACTTGTCAAGAAAAGCAGTTTGCAGCAAGGGCATGTGGTGTGCACCTAGTATTAAAATTGCTTTGTCTTAAAATTGAGTATGAGGATATTAAAAATCCATTGTGAAGAAGGCTGCTTATCTCAGAGTGAAGATACTTAAAAATTAAATGACCAAAACCCTCCAACTTTGAAGCTGAAGAAGGTAAACCTCTCTATTATTGCAGTACAATAATTTCTGTGGAATCCGCTGAGTGCATAGACCATCTAGTTTTTAATTAGACTATTTCTACTGATGGTGTGCTTCAGGGTGGGAGAGGGAAACTACCTGATTCAAGTGTCTGAGAAACAAATCTCTTGTTCTTCTAGGCTGCAGTGGAACAACTTTAACAGGGCTGTGGCATTTCCTTTCCTTTATAAAACATGCTCAGCAAACTGCACCAGTTAACTACAGTTTGGTAAATTGTTATGTTCACAATTATGACATCTGCAATGTTTTATAAAGTAATTTAATAAAATTACTATTGTGAGAAAAAAAAGAGAAGGTTTTAGTTGTGGGAACAGAATTTGGGTGTGAGTCATTCTGACCTCAGCATGTGGGCTTTGGCTGAATTCACTTCTATAAACAAGCTAATTGTGGGGTTAACTCCTCACAGCCTGCTTTGGGGCATAATCAGTATTACAGTCTCCCATATAGAGGGATGGGAAAGGACAGGGCATGTAGGACTTTCAGACCTAATTCATAAACTGGATTATCTTCATAATGTGGCAGAAAGTCTCTACAAGTTTGCAAAGGATCTTGGTTGCCTGGCTAGGATTTTACAGGGTAATCTACAGAAGTACATCAGAGGTCAGGCCAGGGAGTCACATCTAAGAGGAGGAAGACGATGTAATCTATTGCTCTTTCTCTTGGGAAAAAATCCTCTGGGCTGAGTCAGAAGCTCTGAGAATCAGGTGGTTCATGGATCCCCTAGATCATGAATATTTTATTTTTGAAAAACAATGACGCTGAAATCTACCCAAGAAATCCACTCATCATTTTATCAGCTGTATATTGTGGGGCTTCAAATCATGGGATATAGTGAGACTGTTTGAAACCACATAAAATGATTTATTTGTTCAAATTTGACTGTTCATAGAGCTACTATATGTAATGACTCTATAAGGGCTCTGAAACTATAAGAAAACACTAAGGCATGCAAAAATTATTTTATTATCTTCATTAGATACCCAAGAAGAGAAGGTAGAATTTCACTCTACCCCCAAATAGAACTATGGTGATGAATTTCTATTACTAGTTTTGGGAGCAGGAAGAAGTCAAACCTGGAATGTTCTGGGAGGAGGAGTTGACCCTCACCCTTGTTTGGTCAACCAGGGTGGTTGAGTTCCAAGGATGGTTAAGTTCCAGGTTATAGTCACCACTCACAACAGCAGCAGTGAAATTCAGGATATCAACTGAAACTTGGTGGTATTTGAAGACATTGTTTGTGGACACTTAATTTTTATCATCATTTGCAATGGATACTCAAATGTAGAGAATGATTTGCCCTGGCTAATTGCTCCAGTTCCAATGACCTTAGCCAAGAACCATTTCTCTGAGATTCCTCCACTTCTTTACCTGAAAAATGGGCACATCACCTGTCTTGTTAGGTTATGATGACAGTTATTTAAATAAAAAAAGAACTATAAAACACCTGTACATTGCCTTCCATAATAAAATCTAAGTAATATAATTCATGTATAATACATTATAATAAACATTAATATTATATATTGATAAATTGTATTATCATATAATATAAATAATATGTAATATCCCATAGTAGTAACTCTATAACAATAGTAATTGAGTAACAATAAATCTAGCATCTATTATGTTAATACATGACATTTAATATAAAATAATGCAATTATATCTCAGTATTTCAGTAGTGATTATCACTATTATTAATAAGTAATGTGGGAACTATTTATTTGTGGCATATTTCTGCAAGATTTTAACAGGTTCTTGTTCTTTTTAATGAATTAAATCAAAGTAAGATGAATAGTAAACACATATAATATGTGTTCTTGCTACACGCCTCTTGAATTTCACCCCAGAAACCCATCATTGATTGCATGTCAGAAGATGGTTACAAGCTTGATCGAATCAAGGGTGAAATTGAATTCCACAATGTGACTTTCCACTACCCTTCCAGACCAGAGGTGAAGGTGAGTGCCAGTCTTCTCCCTGGGAAAAGTAGACATTTGCTTCTTTGATGATTTATGTCCAGAGCCAAAGATTGACTGTTTTCTGAGGCTTGACTCAGTTTCTAGGAATAGGGGACAGAGGTCCAGAAGTGTCCTCAGGTGCTGGGCCATCTTAGGAAAACACCTCATTCCTTTGTGACAATTGTGTGATGCACATCCCTCTGGTTTGAACACAGTCTAGCAGCCCATGCAGGTTAAGTCAACTCTATCATGTTCTCTTGAGGTGAGTGACAGATCCTGTTATTCTAAGCACATAGAAGTAGACTGCAAGGCAATCAAAGCATTCTTGTTTTCAGAGAGTGGAGAAGGTGGTGAGCTCTGCCTGAGTAGATATGAGTGAGTGACAACCAGAAACCACCATCGCTAGCTTCTTACTTCCCATCTGTAAGTTCACCAGGATCATTGGTCCTCACAGAAGATGACTTAGTGGTATTGTGCTAGTGTATCTTGTACTAGGTGATTTTCTGGGCCACTTGGTGGAGGAAATTTATAGTTTTCCTGTACCTACAAAGCAAGATCTTTAAATACAACATGCTGTGTAGGAAAATTAGGACTTATGCCCCCACCAATGAATTGGTTTTGGAATGAAACTTTTTATTAATTTTAACAGAGTATCTCTGGTTTCTTTTTAAGTAATATTTCTGTTATCCCTATAGAACTAAATCCTATCTTGTTAGCCTAAATTTATTCTGATACTATATATATAGGTGTGTATATGTGTGTAGTGTGTATATATGTGTGTGTGTGCATGACATATATAGAAAGAGAAGGTAAATGTGTGTATAATGTACATAAACATATTTACCTGCATTATATATACCTATGTTCTATAAATATATAAATAAATATATGTACAGCAAATATATAAGTATGGATCTATATTTGTCTGTATCATATATAAATATATCAAACAAAAATAAATATACATATTCTGATTATTTATTTGAAGTGTATTCTTTATTATGTTACATATGTACCTACACATCAAATGCTATATGTAAGCAAAAGTGCTTTGTAAAATATAAATCAGAAAGTAATAGTAAATATTTATGAATGGATGGCTTAAAACTTTATGCTACTTGGAATCAGCTTATCATAGCTGCTCAACAAATACTAATTGAATTGTGACACTAATTTAATTTCTGTTGATCTTTTATTCTCAACACCAATAATTCACTTTAATGGCAATTTTCTATCTAGAGCCATGAAGGTTCTTCATTCATACCTTGAGTACGTATTTAGCTCTGCTGGGTAACATATTGCACTGGGACTGTAACAATAAATGAACACATTCCTGCTAGGAATTTAGCTCAGTGGCACCGCACCTGCCTTGCAAGAGCAAGGTCCTGAGTTTGATCCCTGGTATGGTAAAAGAAAAAAAAAAAGAAAGAAAGAAAGAAAGAAAGAAAGACATTCCCCGTTTCTGCAACCTTATGGACCAGTACAGACCAGAAAGCAGAAATAAATTTGCACACTTGACTCTCTAATGTTTTGAAAGACACATGTGATGTTGTCATTCAGAAGACCCTAAACCACCTTTACACAGTCGGTACAAAAATCAGCTCTTGTTGGTGAAAATCTCCAACAGATAGGTATGAACTAGCTATTTTTTCTCATTCTTGAGACCTACCAGTATTGAGTCCCTACTTTTCCAAGTGCTTTGGACCTAGAAATTCACCACAAACATTCATTAGGCAAATTTATTCAGTTAATATGCACACATATCATACAAGTGTATGACAGCTTAAAATCTGCAAATTGGTTTGTTATTAATCTTTGGTCAGTAAATTAACATTATGCTTTTACTGTGTTTTTTTTTCTTTAACTAATGGGGACAGTCTGCTTCAGGTATCCCACAGTAGGTCAGAAGTGTTTTAAATTAGATTTTGGAACATAATCTTTAAAAGTCAGCCTGACTTACTTACTTTACCAGTGATAACACACATCATCTTATTTGTTGGCTGCAGCTCTTAAGTAATGTGCTAAATGCTAAAATCTCATCCTAGACACTGTTGCCTTTTTCGGGTGATTGATGGATGAATGTTGCCAGAGGTGAAGCCTAATTGCTCGATTAGGTGCACAGTGATAATCTGAGCTGTTAAATTTTCTTTCCTCTCCAGATTTTAAATAACCTCAGTATGGTCATTAAACCTGGGGAAACAACAGCTCTGGTAGGATCAAGCGGAGCCGGGAAAAGCACAGCACTGCAGCTCATTCAGAGATTCTACGACCCCTGTGAAGGCATGGTGTGTGTCTTCCAGAAACTCAGCTCCTGGGGAGGGGACCGTACAAATGGTGACGTAGTAGTCTCAAACTGAGTCTGACTGGAGTGACGGGACAGACCCGTGACAGCCAGTCCATTCCATTGCTGAGTAATCACCGAAGGTGCAGCCATGTTTAAACGGGTATCGCTACTTCTTCAGGAAACTATCTATTCTATTTCTTTCTTTTTTTTTTTTTGGAGTGTAGCAAAATCACTATGATTCCTTTCACAGTGAAAATAGAAATTAACAGAAAATAATCCTGATTAGTCATGAAAAGTTGAACTTTAAAAATTTTATATATAATTTCACAGTCTACTTTTCCTTATTTTTATTTGAGTAAACAGACTGAAACTAAGAAAATAAATATTAATAAGTCTCATAAAAATGATTCCTTATTTTCAGAACAACTCCCCTTTCCCCAAAAGTACCTATGTCCAGTTTTCAAATGAGGAAGCAAAGAGTCAGAAAGATTGAGACTTGCCTCAGGTCATTCATCTAGGATGTGACCAAGCCAGGGTATGTGGATGCCAGAGCACAAGCTCTTTATCTCAAAAGCATTCTGTCAGCTTCTCCTTGATACTTTGAGATAGACTTGTTCTGACTATGGATGAATGGCTTCGATGCAGTGAGTTCTCTAGCAGGCATATGATGTTACAATGACACAGCAAACACAATGGGACTTTCTTTTTTCATGGACATTTCCTTTTCAGTTGGTATTCTTTACTACATACCACCATAATAACACTTTGAAATTTAATAAAAATCATCATTTTTGGGTAAGATTTTTACATTTTTCCTATTGTGATTTTTGTTTCTTCCCTGTAATATCTCCAACTACTTTTAAATAGCAAAGTGTTATTTGATGAATCTAATCAGAATTAAGATTTACTATGAAACATATATGTAAGTTAAGAGTCATTCCTATTATATCCTTTTTTTATTATATCCTATTTTTGATGTTCCTTTTTGGTCACATGACAAAAGATAGTAAAAATATTCAAAGTGTGGTGAATGACTGGCTACTATTTGTTGAAGAATTTAAAATGTGCCCATTCCTGGGCCAACAGCAAATGGAGTGACCTTTACATCATGTGTGTTTTAGCAATGACATGTCCTGCAGCTAAACTTAATTTCAGTTCCACACTGTCATCCTTATATAAGCAACCACATTTCAAGAGGAACTGTCTACCATCACAGTCTTATCCATCTGTATCTTATCTCTCCAATAGCATTGGACTAGGTGGTGGAGTACCACCTAGTGTTCTGACTCAGAACCCTGAAGGGTTCCAGCAGCCTGTTGCTGTTCCCGTGCTCTCTAGGTGACTCTGGATGGCCATGACATTCGCTCTCTTAACATCCAGTGGCTGAGAGATCAGATTGGGGTCGTGGAGCAAGAGCCAGTTCTGTTCTCCACCACGATTGCAGAGAACATCCGTTACGGCAGAAAAGATGCGACAATGGAAGATATCGTCCGAGCTGCCAAGGAGGCCAATGCCTACAACTTCATCATGGACTTGCCACAGGTACTTCTGGCCTCGCATTCCAGCAGGAAACCCAGTTGTCATCAAACAAAAATAAGAGTCACACAATTATACATATTTATTCATTTAAATCCTGAATCATTACATTCTTAATATAAGGCTTGGAAATGTACTTGGAAATGTCTCCTTTTCATCTGCAAATATGTTATTTTTATGTTTAAAATCTATCAGATTAGGGAACTTTCTGTTAAAATTTTTCCTTTAATTTTAGATATAATTTCCTTATTATATCTAGTGAACATGTGTTTAACATATGCTAAATTTGGCATGTGGTGATACTTGTACAATGCTCTCCTGATGTCTACCATTATCATTATTCTTTGGTTTTCTTGTGCTCCGATGACTTAAATATTGTGTTTCAGAACTGGATCTCACATATTCAAAAACAATTCCTCATATACCTTCATTCTACATGACTATTACTACAAAACCCAACTCTATTTTATTATAATTGTGTGGATTTTTCCATTGATGGTCTGCTAAATCAAAGAAGGATTATTGATAGGTAATGTGTGTATGGTAAAACTATGTTCCAGGCACTCTTGTAGCACTTTACCTCTCTCAACTCATTTAACCCTTATAACTACACTGTGAGGTAGCAACTATTAGTATTTCCATCTACAGATGGAAGACTAGGGATCCCAGGGGTCAATAACCTGTTTAAAATGATACAAATAGGCAGGAAAGACAAGATTCATACCAGGTGTTCTGGCTCCAGAGTCAGTGATCTTGAATATGTCCTATTCAGCCTTCTAAATTGCCTTATGAAAAGGATTGCAGCAGGGGTATGCTATAGTCTAATGGCTAGAGAATAAAGCATTAGCATTGGACTGCCTCAATATCAAACCCATTTTTTCTACTTATCAACTTTGTAAACTTCCATAAAGTACTATACCCCTTCATGTCCCAAGTTCCATTATTTAGTAGTTGAACAGAGCAGCAGTATGTCCCTCCTATGGTATCTTTGAGGAGCAAATGAGGTGACATATGTACAATTTCAGCACCATGCTTTACATGTGGTAGGTGCTCAACTCGTGTTGGCTAATACTAAGCAAGATAAGAATCGGAGCTGGGCATAGTGGTACATACCTGTAATCACAGCACTCTGGGAGGCTGAGGCAGGAGGATTACAAGATTAAGCCCAGGCTGGGCAACTTAGTGACTTTGACACCCTATCTCAAAATGAAAAATAAAAAAGGGCTGGGGATTTAGTTCAGTGAGATGACCCTGGAGTTCAAACCCCACCACCAAAAAGAAAGATGAGTCTGACTGCTGGAATTGGTTAGATTCCCATGTATCGTTGGACATGTGAAGTACTCAGTAGCCAATTGCTGTCCATGATAATTTTTATAAAGCTAGTTTGTCCTTCCATTCACAATATGAAAACACCTTTCATATTATATTTTGCTGTATTGTTTCACTAGAGAAAAGAGACAAAGATTTGAAATCTTTTAAGATAGACTTTCAAGACTGTTCAGTTTCTAGTTGGTTGAAAAATTTCATTTAAAGTTGAGCTGAAGGGGAACATTTATATAGCTCAGTATACCTTGACATAAAAGCATAAGTCAATTTCCTTATCTCACATGCAAATTCTGATTAGACAATAACCTGCTTGGGGAAGGAGTGTTTCTTTCATGGGAAGGTGGACCTGTGGAAATTCATGGTTGAGCAGGAAGTGAAAAAGAACCTTATACTGGGTTGCTGTCGGAGCCACCGTCTTGTCCCTTTGACTGGCATCACTTTCTCCCTAGCAATTTGACACCCTTGTTGGAGAAGGGGGAGGCCAGATGAGTGGTGGACAGAAACAAAGGGTGGCCATCGCCAGAGCCCTTGTCCGAAACCCCAAGATCCTCCTTTTGGACATGGCCACCTCAGCGTTGGACAATGAGAGTGAAGCCATGGTCCAAGAAGCTCTGCATAAGGTTTGTGGAGAGTCTGAGCTCATCTTGTGGGTCCAGGTGGAAATGCTTGTCTTTCTGCTGAAATAGACCCCTCATTGGAGAGGGGTGATGTTACATGGGTCTGTGTGTTCAGTGCGATCATTTAAAAAATATTGGCTGGCTACAGTCTTCTTCATGTTGAACAGAAGACAGTTGTGATTTGCTTCCAAAAGCTATACATGTAAAGTTTAAACTCTTGTTATGAGTAACATGACTTTTTTTAAGTTCCCCTATCTTAAGTTGTTAATTGCAGCAGCAGACTGATGGGATTGTGATGTAATTTATGGCTACAAGGAACTGACCTTTTCTGATGTCTGCATAGCCCGTGTAAGGATCCTCCCAGGAACCAAGGCACACACTTACCTATGGATTCTAGAATGATCCAATGACCAAGGTCAGCTTTGTCTCGCATCTTAACAGAACTCTGTGCATCCTTACAGATTCTGCATATGCATACAGTCATCTCAGTTGCCCACCGCCTCTCCACAGTCAAAGCAGCAGATGTCATCATTGGTTTTGAACGTGGGACAGCAGTAGAAAAAGGCACCCATGAAGAACTGTTGGAAAGGAAAGGTGTTTACTTCACTCTAGTGACTTTGCAAAGTCATGGAGATCAAGCCCTTACTCATAAAGATGTGAAGGGTAAGGGCATTTTCCCTTTTGCTTGTGCAGTCTATTAAATAGTATATGTTGTATGTTTCTGTGCATGTAGTATACACGGTCTGCTTTGTTCTCCCAACATCCCTGGCAGGCATTAAAGAAATGATAAAAGCAATAACTGAAGCTCACCAGTTAAATGATTTTATTAAGTCACAGAGCTGAAACCAAGGTGTTCTGATTTCCTCTTCTGCTCCCTTTCCTTACCCTTTTCAAATAGGAGAGTCTTCCTAGTGTGTGTCCTGCAAACAGGAGGAGTCTCATTCTTATTGATTGAGTGAGTTAACCTAAAAGTTTCAAGGCATATTTCAGAATTTTCAAATGCAGATAGATAGTTTTAGGCCCTAGTACACCTTCTGCATTTTCAGATTTTGTTGTTACCCCAAGATAAATTAACTAACCACTGTAATCTTTCTTCAACATGTCACGTTTGCACATGTGAACTGTATTAGGCATAGCTACTGTACATGTTTTAACACATGAGTTACTCTGCACTTGATCTTAGCCAAAATGCCAAGAAGTGATAACACAGGAGCTATTCCGAATAAACTTTGTTCTGTGGTTTTATTATTTTTGTCACTTCTAGTTGGCTTCCCTTAAATATTTTTATGACTAGTGCTAAAAGATTCCTGTTTCTACAGAGTCAAATGACTCGGTCTAATCTTGAATTTTTTATTAGAAAGTGGTGCATGACTTTCAGGTTTTATTTATTGAAATAAATTAGGCAAACATAATAACGTTTGCCTAAACATTTGAATATGGTCCTTTTTATGGTATACACTAATAAATGGCTTGTGTTATATTGAACAGAAAAAGATGCAGCTGAAGATGACATGCAGAAGACCTTCAGCAGAGGGAGCTACCAGGACAGTTTAAGGTAAGCTCAAGCCATAGGGCAGATTTTAGTTTTCAGATATTCCTAGGAGCTTTTTGTAATTGTGATCCTCAAGGAGGTCCTAAGCAGAATCCCAGGTCTTGTGTAGTAAGAATATACAAATGACTGCTTCATTATGACATTTATGTTTCCCATTCATGGGTTTTTGCTTTACTTTGGCTTTTTATCACATTTTGAGTAGGGACATGATGGATAATTCTGGTTAAAATCGTGTGTTTGTAAAGAATATATTTTTATTACTGCCTATTAATTTTATAAAATACTGTTTTTCAATATGTATAATATATTTTGATTATATCCATCCCCTTATTATCACTCTTTATACTCTGTTCCTCCTCCTGTTACCTTCCTCTTGTCTAATAGTACTGCAGCGTCTCATCTATTTTCATGTTATCTTTTAAAAATTCCATATATTGGGGAAAGCATGTGATACTTGTCATTTTAAGTCTAGCTTATTTCACCTAACAAGATGATCTTCCATTCCATCTATAAAATGTTGTTTATTGAGCTCAGAAAGGGGATTTTAAAAAACTCTCTTTTCCCCACCAAAGCTAAGAGATACGTGAAACACTCTCCTATCGAGGCCACATTCATTTACGCCTTTTGCTCCATTCTTTAACCTATAGAGCAGCAAGTGAGTGACAAACACTTCTTTGCCTACAGTAACCCCTCTGAAATCAAATTATTCTTAACTAAGTGAAATAAAAATGTATTTTTTAGTTTTTAAACAGAATTTCTCAAATGAAGTATTTCTTCTTCTCCAGATCAATATGTAGGTGTTCACTCTTAAGCCATATGTTTTGGAGTATGTTGCTTTCATGTTGGCTTAAGAGTTTTACTTTAAAAAGTTCCTGTGATGTTAAAAGTCTGTGTATTAAGAATTCTAGGGGTCAGGCCTGTAGGTCAGTAGTGGTAGAGCATTTGCTTAGTATATGTGACGTCCTGGGTTCAATACCCATCTGTCCAATAGTTTTGTTTTTGTTTTTTTTGGTACCGGGAATCGAACTCGGGATCTTGCGCTTGCGAGGCAGACACCAGAACCACTGAGCTAAATCCCCGGCCCCATCTGTCCAGTAGTATTCATCTGTATTCATAAAAAAGTTTGTCAAGATTCTCTTTCCTTAAGTTAGGAGACCATTGATAGTTAATGGCCGATAGCAACTCTCTTACCATTGTCTTTCCTTACCATTTCCAGGACATATAATGAATATAAGGGTGTGTTCTAAGCAATGGCTCATTCAAGATGGCTAGTTCTATTGAAAAAAGAATTATAAAGGCTTGAAACATTCAGGCATCAACTCCAAGTAGTCAAAATGAGCTTAATTCATTTTTAGTATTTTAGGAATAGTTCACTAAAAAGTATTATACTTATTTTCAAAAGTAAAAAGGTATTTCAGGCCCTAGTGTATCTTTTCTTTAGAAATCAAAATTCTTAGATTAAGTTTATTTTTTTTCTGAGAACAAGTCTACTGAAAAAAATTTTAAAGAAAGACTAGTTTTATTGAATTTATTAAATTTGAAAAATAAAGCAACAGCTTCAAGTTAACTCAATAAAGTAAAAACTATAAAATTGCCAAAATTACTTGTCAAGTTTTATATACATCTGTCAGTATTTTAATCTGACATAAAATTTTGAAATCTAAAGAAACTATCTTCCTAAATCTAGAGAATGACCAGGGATCCCTTCTAGTCACTAGGCTAAAGTAGAGAAGTAACATATAGTCATGTCAACAAGAAAATAAAAATCTTATGAACGTTTTTTTCTGATGAACTTTTAAGATAAAATTTTACTTATTCTAAGTGCTTTCTTTATAGTTTATTAGTTAAGTAGATAATCATTTTAAATATAAATATTTATTTTGCTATAATCTGTCACAAATTCTAAACTTTGGGATCAAGATGAGATATCCAGAAATACTATCTACACACAGAAAGTAGCTATTAACCTCCTGCAGAGAAAGATTTGTAAGTTTAAGGAAGGAGGTCTGTTAAAAATATCTCATTGCATTTGCTGATAATTGTTTTTACTAAAAGATGAATAAATGAAATGTTAGTGTGTGTCTTGTTTCTTAGCCTTTAGTTTTTCTGATGAGTGAGTCTCTCTTAAGCAATGTGTTTTAAATTCAAGAACATTTAAATGAATAACAACAAATAATTTCCCAAATGATAAGAGAGAGAGAGAGAGAAAGAGAGAGAGAGGATTTATTCCCCAAATTAGCTGTTTTTCTGTGCAGTGAAAAGTAGTAAGCAGCTTCTGAGAAGAGGAGGAGCAGGTGTCGTAGGTTCTGAACAGGGATGTGACAGGATCTTATTCTCTGGTTGCTGGTAGACTTGCGGGACACCAGCTGGCAGTAGAGCTCCTGCCTGGCATACTTAGCACTCAGGTCTCCGACTCTACTTGCAAATTACTGAAAAACTCAACCCATCTTGGTTTGAAAGGGAAAAAATCAGTTCACATAACCAAATAACCCACAGATGCATTGGTGTCGAGCAAGGCTAAGGCTTCATTACGTCCAAGTTAGGTGGTTTCCCTCCTTTCCTTCTTTGTTTTCCGGGAAGATCTTTCCTTGAGAGTCTCAACATAATTGCTAGCAGCTCCCAGACTTTAGGTTAATCTAGAGGAGAACAAGAGTCTCCTTCCCAAAATCTCAGGGGAAAAAGAAAGCAGACCCAGCTGGGCATGGTGGTATATGGTTGTAACCCCAGCATTCTGAGAGGCTGAGGCAGGAGGATCATAAATTCAAGTCCAGCCTGGGCAATTTAGCAACTTAGCAAAAGCTTGCCTCAAAAAAAAAAAAATTCAAAAAGGACTAGGGATATATCTCAGTACAAAGGCCCTGGGTTCAATCTGAAGTACCACCAAAATAAAATAAAGCCAGAGACAATCATGTCCCATGCTTATTGCGCACAAAGTGTATTTGATAAGTAACCCTGCTGTGTCTTGTCCCTGCTTCGGTTTGTACTGTTTTCTCCACCAAAAATGTTCTGTCCTCTGGACTCTAAACACCCAAATGCTACCTTAGCTTTTCCATGAATTCTTGCTTGGTAACCCTTGCCATGCATTTTATTTTCTCTTTGAATTTCCAAAATCCTTACTTAAATCTGCTGTGTAGCACTTGCCACAGTCTTCCTTACATCAGGGCTAACAACGTGCCTTGCTCTTCTCTGAGATTTAAATTCTTTGAGGAAGACACCTGTGATCGACCAGTCTTTGTGTCCCCATCTACCAGTAGTTAGCAAGTTGTAGGTACTCAATAAGCTTCTGTTGAGTGAATGAGTAAGTGGATGAATGGACACATTAAGCTAAATTATATTTCAATAGAAATTTTGTTAATGGATTTCTATAGGCAGCATGTAGTTAAGAAACAATCTCACTGGGGGTCCTAGTTCTTCTGATGGGCTCAGTTGGGGCATCTAGGTGGCATCATACTAAAGTAAACATTAGGTATATTGGAGAGAGGAGGGGAGGGAAGGAAGGAGGGAGAAACAGAGAGAGCAGGAGAGAGATCAAACTACAACCTAAACTGGAGGGAGGTGAAAGTGACGAACCAACTCCTTGGCCACAATAGCCATTAGCAGGGCCATGTAGGCTTGGAATGCATTTGTTGGTGGAATGGTGGGACAGTTGTGTTCCACTTCCCTTTCTCTCTCCCTGGCTAATCTGAGTCTGGCTCCACCAGTTACAGAGCTTGGGGCCCAGAGCAGTCAACCTGATTGATTAGCTTAGGTCTGTCATTTAACCCAAAAGCTTCCTGCCTTGGGTGCCATGTAACCTGCCAAACATTTCTGTTTATTTGATGTGTGATGGAAATGCGGGCGCCAGTTGAGTCTTGTTCCAACCTGCTCACCTTCTACAGACTCTTCTGTCTTTTCTGTTTGTTTGCAGAGCTTCTATCCGGCAACATTCCAGGTCTCAGCTTTCCCACCTGGCTCATGAACCACCTTTAGCTGTTGTAGATTGTAAATCTACTTATGAAGATGGAAAGGTCAGGCACTACCACTCTGGGGTAATGGAAGAATCCCTCCTGGGGACCACTAGGTGCTCTTTAAACATATGTATAAGTGTTTTCTACATATATGGGCAATAGCACAACATAAGGGCTTGGTGCAAATTCTAAATTATACACAATTTTTAGAAAGAAGCACAGATTAGCTAATTAATTATTTTTAAGAATACATGTTTCAGGGCATGGTAGTACACATCTGTAATCCCAGCACTCAGAAGGCTGAGGCAGGAGGATTATCATGAGTTCATGCCAGCCTGGGCTACATAGTGAGTGCAAGGCCAGCATGAACTATGTAGGGAGACTGTGTCTCAGAAAAACAAAAACAAAAACCAAACCAACCAACCAAACAAAAAACCAATACAAGTTAACTAAAACTGGACCATTAAGGGTTAGTTAATAGTTTTTAGATTAGCCATTCTAATAAACACAGAAAAAGGGTTTATCACATCTACTTTAGCAAATTATTTGCTGATATGGTAGTATGCTTTTGAAATTTTAAAAAGTACTCAAACATTTTTTCTCAAAATTTAAAATGTCTTAAATTATAATACAAATATTTGATCAACAAAAGTATTTGATAAGGTTAAACCTGACATGTTATTATAAACTTTGAATTGGTTTTATGGATATTTGTTTACTTCATTTAATTTTATAACAATTTTCAGGGTGCAATTAAAATAAATGTACTAATTTAAACATAAATTTAGAATAGCATAAAATAAAAGAAATAGGAGAAGAATCCATGCAATTAACAATATAAAACCTTATTCATGAGGACACAGGTGTCCTGCTGTTGTGAACATTGTCTGTCATAAAAGGTGACCATCCATCCTCCTCCAACCATTTCCTGGCCCTGATACTCTCACTTTCTGTCCCCTATAAACACTTCATTAGAACCTTTTCGTGGTAGCTTTCTTGTTGAGCTTTGAGTTCATGTTGTCTTGCCCCTTTATTACATATAAGCTTCTTAAACTTAGTGACCGTAACTTATTTGTGTTGAATCACCTTGGGCAGTTGACAGAATGCCTCGAATTAATAGGACAATAGGAGGTTTTAATTTTATTTATTTATTTTTGTTTTTGAGACAGGGTCTCACTATGTAGTTCAAGCTGATCTTGAACTCACAATGTAACTAGTGCCGGGATTACAGGCATGCACCACCATGCCTGGTGGAGATTTTTAAACTGGGATGAAAAATTAAATTTCTGTGGTAAAATAAAGCACAAACTCTAAGATTTATTAAAGCAAATAAGTCAGGAATGCTTTCATTACAAGCCCATCATTTATGCATGATGTAATTTTAAATTGTCTTCAGTAAAATCCCACTATGTGAATACTTTAAAAAGTAATTATAAACTGGATCACAATAGAGAAATTTAGGATAAAGTATGGTACTATTTTTTTACCTTATGTTTATGAGCGATGGATTATTAAGGCTCTCTTTCATTTTAATGTATTAATTTGAATGAATAGATATCTCAATATCTAATAGAATTGGTTTAAATGAATTCCATAGAATATTCTTTCTTCAGAGGAGCAAGATGAATCACAGTGAGAGAAAACACATTTCACAAGCATGGGTTCTTACTATATCTTGTTGCTAAAGTCTCGACTCTTTTTCTGGTTTTAGAAATAGCTATTTCACTTATGTTCTCAACACTGCCACAAATAACTACAACATGTGTTATATGAATAGGCGTTTAGTAGAGCTTGAGCAGAGAAAGAACCAAACACTCCATTGAAAATGTAAACGTGACAATACCAATCACATTCAATTTTTACATTTTTTTCTAGTTTCTGGGTAAATGTTTGATGTTAAAAGAAAAGGAGGAAGGGAGGGAAGAGAAAAATGACTTTTTCTCATTTTTGTTTAAGTTAGTAGATGACCTAGCTTAGTCACAGAATGGTCAAATTCCCAACAGATCTGGAGATCAGATGCCCAGGATTCTTTTGATGAAGAAGAACTCAGAGCGGGCTATCAAATGAAAGTCTAAATCAAGTATAGGAATTAATTTTAAAGAGATTAAAATGTTCCATATTCTACTCTACTTATCAGGATTATAAAATAATTTAAATCAATTAAATGACACCCAGGATAATTTTCAAAAGATGCCACTTTATGTTCTTTCTAGTTCAGGGAGATAGAAAAGAAGAAAAGAAAAAAACGACAGGGAAGCCAATGTGATTTTGCCAAGGCACCAAGAAAAAAAAGGTCTTACAGTAGTACTGCTTATTTGTACAGTAAGTATATTGTGGTCTTTTAGATTTAAGGAATTGTTTAAAAAGGAAACAATAGAATTAGGGTTAAATAAAAGTTAACTGATGAAATTTCTAACTCCAAGGAACACTGTATGAGTAAGTGTTGCTCAGTTTCAGTATTTTCAAATATTTTAACACTTTATTAAATTCCACAAGTCCAAACATTGGCAAAACCCTTTCTTTGTTTTGGATGGAGAAAGCAAGCCCGCCCTTGCCTTCTGTAGACTGGGAAATGTTCTAACCTGCTGCAGGTGGTCTACTTGCACCAAGCGGTTATCTCCACCTTGTGGTCTCTTAGAGCACTGAACAAACACAAGAGACGATTTTGTCTGTGCTTCCCAGGGAAGTGGGGTTCCTCGCCCACAGCCTCAAGGTTAGCAGGTGACAGAGCGAAGCCCGTTTCTCCTTGCTCTCTAAGCTGTATGCTTAGCTCTCATAAATGAGGTTAGATCTTAGATATATACCAATAACATTAATTTAGGAGTAGGTTTTAGTCTCTAAAATTTTAAGGAACTTTTTTCAGTGAAACTAAAAAATATATGATAAAATCAGAGATTAGATATCCACAACTTCATCACAACTAACTGTTAAGATAGGATTTAAGCATTGGTAAGAGATAAGACAGAGACAAGACCCATAAAAATGACTATTTGTTCATTTGGAAAATCTCTGCTTCTTTGTCAAACTTATCATTTTTTATTGTCAGATCCCAAAGTTATGATCAAGGCAAGAGACCCTGTTGTTGGAGTGCAGAGACCAGTGTAGCAAGTATAGAAATCAGGAGACAAGATTCAAGTAGGAAGTTTTATTTCCCCCCTGGCTCACACAGGAGATAGGAAGGGAACTGGAGAAAGCCCAGGGTCTAGTATTGAACCATCTACATAATAGGTGAGAAGCTGTATGCACCGTGGGTGTAAAATCTGCACTTGTTTTGTCATCCGATAAACATTGATTACACCTACTATGTACTTGGCACTGTGCTGAAGATGCAAAGATAGGCAGGAGCTACTGTCACTCTTCCTGCCATCGAGTTGCTGACAGGTACTTCTTTATACATGATAGAAAAACTAAGAAGTGTGCAAGTTGCCAATGTTGCAGTGGAGGCACAAGCTCTGCAGTGAGCAAACACATGAGTTTTATGATTTTAGTGCTCCTTGGGCGTGGTGCCACACACCTGTAATCTCAGCTGCTTGAGTCTGAGGCAGGATGGTCCCAAGTTTGGGATTACCTCAGTAACCTAACAAAAACCTGTTTCAAAAAAAATTTTTTTTTAAATGTAAGGGATAGAGATGTAGACCTACACGCATGAGGCCCTCTGTTCTATTCCTAGTTCCACTAATAATAATAATTATCATCACTATCATTATTTTGCCTCCCTATGTGAGCTACTAGTTCACTGCCAATTTATTCATCTCCCCCTTTATACTTAGCTTTGCAAAATTAGAGGTAAAATTTTTTTGCAGAATGTTTTTAGTTAAATTCATAGATAGTTTTCTTTTATTCCTCTACTGTATCAAACAAAAGTCCATTATTTGGGAACCAATTTTCTACTTTTTTGGATCCTTATGGGTTGACATTTGCATTTGGTAAGGGGACTAGGAAATAGTTTCCTTTGAACTCAAATTTTTTAGTATAGGGAGACAAAAGAAAAATATTCAAATTAACTACTTTTTGTTTCTTGTTTGCTTATTTTGGAATGAAAACTACTGGAGAAAATATAGTTCATATTGTTTTAAAATCCCTTAGGCATTGCTGCCTAGGCTTATGGATATCTTTGGATATCAGAAGGTCAGGAGAGTCGCCATCCTGCGGGGCCATGGCTCCAGGAGGAGCTGGAGTGCCTGTCACTAGGGAGCAGGCAGGATCCCTTGATAGTACCTGACAGCTGACATACCCAAAATGTATAATTACAGAATCCTCAACTCCTAGTGGTGGGAAACAGCCTGGAGGTCATATACTACTGAGGTCTCAGCTTTGGTCACCAGAATCACCCAAGGAATACTCCTAAAAACAGAGTAAGCCCTCCTAAATTGGAATTCTGGTGATGAGACCTCCCAGAAATTTGTATTTTTAATCATCAACCCTCATGTGTCTGTGAGCATCCAAACCTGGACTCCAATTACTGTCCAGAACTCTAAAGGGTCTGACATTTTTCTCTGTTGCAAGCCTGATACAAGTTTGTGGATGCTGGCAGAATACACAAGAGCCGTGAGTGAGAGATGAAGGACTTAATTACTCAGAGCAGTGGCAGGAGCCACAGTCCAGCATTCCTGCACTGTTCCTAACTCAATCTCCCACCCTCACAAGGTGAAGTGAAGAGAGCTAGGTGATACCAGCAAAAGAAGTGGGTGTGGTACACAAGGAGAAGGCTGGGTTTGAGAAGGCTCTCTTTTATGATGGGCAGATGAGCTAATACTTGAGGAACATACACCATCTCAGTCTTTCAGGGTTGTTTGCTGTATTAGCACCCTTAAAAGATAACCCGAACAAAGCTAATCAATTCCTTTGCTCACAAGATATACAAAAGTGCAGTACTTCCAGGAAGACTGTCTCCCCAGAACAACCTAGTCCAAGTCCTTCATTTTAAGAAAAAGGTAATCAAGAGGGCTGGGGATTTAGCTCAGTGGCTCCTCGCCTGCCTCCCAAGCAGCACAAGGTCCTGAGTTTGAATAAGATAATCAAGGCCCAGAGAGTTAAAGTGCTTAGTGATGGATTCCACTGGTGGCCACATGGGACTCATCCAAGAGCCCCTTCTTTCTATCTCTGTTCCATTAATGCTTTCCCAAGCACCTTTCTTTTCTGTGGCGTGGATGGTCTGAAGTTAGTAAGCTGTCAGAGATGAAATAATTGGACAGAGGATTTGCTGCATGAGCGATGAAATTACTGCTCAGTAACTGCAAAATGCAAATGTTGAAAGCAGCTGAGAGAATTTGAAATGGAGGTAATAGCACATTCATCACCAACCTGAGCTGCCTTCCTTGATCCTATTTGGCTTGAATTATAATGAAATGGACATGACACCAGCCTTTCATTTAAATTGAATTGGTAATGTGATCTTTGACTTTGTAAGCAGAGTGAGTTTTTGAAGATCTTTATTGTTATCTGTTCCTGGTATTCAGCTACTGAAAGGGGAAATTACTGTGTATTAGTAGAAGAGAGAAATCACTAATAGTTTTGTAGTCAATTTTCTGTAGATTTGTTAGGGTATTTTAATAGAAAAAGTAAAACAAATTGGTGCAAATCTATGCAAACCATCTAGAACTCTTTATCAAACAGAGTGAGTAACAAATCCATATACAGCATCACTTGCTTCTGGGGCACTAATTAAGGGCAACCTTGCCGAAAATAAGAAAATAATAACTGTTGACACCACCGAATGAATTGTTTAAATTTTCTTGTTCCAGATATACCACTTGCCTTCAAGTGCTAGTATAACCTAGTGCTTTAGTTTAATCTTAGAGCTTTAGTATAATCTAGTGATGTATGAAACATTGACATTTATGAAAATCATATCTTGAAAATTTCTTAAGTCCTCACATGAATATATACCCTATAGCAAAGATTTTTTTAAAATGAAGAACTATTATTTCAGAGATCCAGTGCATTTATCACTCCTTGTATGAATCCATGTGTGAGTGGGAAGTGAGAACTATAAAGTTACCATCAGTTCAACAGTTCTGTAGGGTCCACCCCTTCCAAGCCATGGCACGGTGTCAAACAGTTCAAAACCATTCCTCACAAACTAACAAGCCATTGTCTCTGATAGATCTTTGAAGTCACTCAGAACCAATCAAACTATGACTCTTAAATCTGAATGTCAGAAGCTTTGCTATTTAATATAAGAGTATGTGTACACGCATGTGCACATCTGGATGACTCATGTAGTCCTCTTTTCTCTCAAGAACAAGAGCATTCCCGAGGAAGAAGAGGTTGAACCTGCCCCGGTTAGAAGGATTCTGAAGCTCAATGCTCCGGAATGGCCCTACATGGTTGGAGGGGCTGTGAGTGCAGCCATCAATGGGGCAGTGACGCCATTATATGCCTTCTTATTCAGCCAGATTCTTGGGGTAAGCAAGCAGCTGGAAAAGCTTTATTGTCCCCATTCCTTCTTTTTGGATCAGTGACTGCTATCATATTTGTTAGGTCAGCTCTTTGTTTTAATATACTTAGCTGCTTTGTTAGCTCCTTTTTTCATGTCTAAAGGATGAAAATTTCACTGAGTCTCTGTCACACAGAAGGTGAGAATGCAAAGCTTGTCTGGTCTACCAGGGTGCTCATGCAGTTATCATGCCCATAAGAAATGGTGCCCTCAGGACAGGGGTGTAGCTCATCCCTTGAGCCCATGCACAAGGTCTTGGGTGCAGTTCACAGCACACACACACAAAAAGTACAGTCACTTTGAATAGGGAAGCTTATCCTCATGCAAATCAAATCAGAATGCAAAGCAAGTTTGTTGAATATGAAAGGATTTTAGGGCAGTTTTTAATCTTGCTAAATAGGTACAAAGTTTGTCTTATAACATCAGGTGTTAATATGTAATACGTAATTATCTGTTCTCTTACTGATTGTATTAAAATAAGAATGTACAGAGGAAGTGAGAAAAAGCAAGAAAGAAGTAAAAATAGGCAGGAATAAATAATAAGCTTACTTTAGTTTTTTACTTTTAGGAGTTTTTGATATTCCTATTTGACTTTATTACTATAATGATAAATACAAACATTTACTAAGTATTATCTAAGCACTTTATACATAATAGCTCATTTATGTTTCCTAATAGCCAACTGAGATAGGGTTTCTTATTCCCATTTTATAAAGGAGCAAATTGAAGCTCAAAGAATTTAGGACAGCAAATGGCAGAGCTGGGACTCAAATCCAGTGAGTCTGACTATAGAGCCAGGTTCTGAGAATCCTTATTATTGGAAAATTAGTTATCAAAATGCTGACATATTTTTAGTGAAAACACACACACACACACACACACACACACACACACACACACACACACCCTGTGAGGTCAACAAAGAAGAAAGCCTGGAACCTAAAGAACGTTAATAACTTGTTCAAGGTGAAGCAGCCAAAGGATTTGCCAGTCCGTCAATTTGTCAGAGCTTAGTGAGAAAAGCTTACATCTTAGTTCCTTCTCCTACATCTCTGTCATCACCTCTCTGATAGAAGTTGTGACCATAAAAATGTCCCCTCGGGCATGAACTGTACAGAAAAACCTGAATAATCCACAAACAAAATCAAGTCAATTGTGTGAGGAGGTCCCCAGCCACTACTTTAATTTTCACATTGTCCCCTTTTGGTAAGTGAGAAAATCATGTAGTAATTTGCTGGGAGGTAGGAAATTGGAAACAGTGGGGACCTTCAACTCTGGGGAATTGATCCTTGGTTATTGGTGTGACAGCCTTGTGTGCTGAACATCTTTTAAGTAATTCATTTATATTCCTTAATCTCCTAGTAAGTAACATCCAAACATAAAGTCATAGTCTTATGCACTCAACGGGTATGTATTAGATACCATGCTAGGGACTTAGGAATGCCATGTTAGTTATGGTGCTTTCCTCAAGACAAATGTTAAACATAAAAATCCACTCAACATGCAACAGATATGTGTAGATCACTTAGTGTTTCCTAGGCACCATTGCTAGTGCTGGGGATCTGGTGGAGGACAAGAAGGCCAGGCTCTCCCTGCCCTCCAAAGCTACCATGCTAGCAGGAAGAGACTTTGAATATGAGTCTCAGTGGATAATGAAGCAGGTACAGAAAGTGGAGGAAATGGAGTGAATTTGAAAAGATAGAAGCCTGCATCCTGTATGTTTGCTTTTTAAAAGAAACTCAGAATGCCAGCTTCTTTGCAAATTATCACTTTCTGTCCTTTAAAAGCAGAATAAATTTTATATACACACAACTTCACCCAAACCACGTATATGAGCTTCTGTGGAAGAGTCCTGAATTCCCTACCCGGACAGCTTTCCTCTGAAACAGGTTCTACTAGGTGCTTACCGTATCCTGTGTGCCCACTGCTGTTGTCCTAAATTTCCTCAATGATGAAGTGAAGGATGACAAAGATTATCTGAGAATTCATCTTTATTGCTCAGCAAACCACTATCTTTCCTCGCTAATAAAGAAGATTGTTTCTATTTGACTCAGCATAATTATCACAAATTTGTCAGTAAACTCATGATGCTTTTATCTAGCAGGGTATAATCATGTGCCTGTTTTTAATTGCTGTTTTCATTTGGATTTACCTATCGGTCAAAATAGCCACATGTGGTATGGAGAGACCACACTGTGCAACATAGGCCTAGTAAATGATTGAGCACTATTAGGAGGTGGATTGCTAAGCTAGCTAAACTTCAGTATCCACATAAGGCATAATTTATCTGTTTCGCTTTCCCTGTGCCTGCCTTGGGAAATGTGTTAAGTGTAACCACTACTGCAATTTGAGTGTAACCTGCTAGGAAAAAGCATAGACTTGGGAGTCAGCTAGACCTAGATTTGTTGTAGGTCTCTGCTTTGTACTATCTGTGTACATTTGAGCATGACCTTATCTTTGCTGAGACTTAGTTTCTTCGTCTGCAACATGGAGGAGGAAAATCCTACCAAAATTGGTTGTTTTGAGAATCTTAACTTAAGGAACTCTTAATTTAAGTTAAAACAGGTTCAGCCACACATTTCACATCTGTCACATACATAGCAAGAGTTTAATGGATGTTTGTTTTTTCCTTAAGCACACTTACCATTCCAAAAACAGCAAAGATGTGTTCCTGAACTCCAGCTCATCTAACTACTGAGGAGTCTATGGATGGGTAGCCCACTGGACTGCATTTCAATAACAAGAATGTACAAAGAATTCATGGAGCACAGTATTGTGGGAAAAGACTGTGGATAGATTAAATGCCCAATCTCACAGAATAGCTGTGCAGATTTTAACATTAGCTAAGTACCCTTTTTCTTAACACTGAGAAATCGAGGAGATGGATAATGCCATAAGCCAAAAGAACATGCCCAGAAGAAAATCACTGCATGGGAGGCTAGAAAATAGGCATTTCCTTGTCTGAGAAAAACTCCTAGCTGAATGAATTTAGGCAAACCCTTCATGTTTTGGGCTTCTGTTTTCTATCTATAAAATAAGAACTAAATGGGCTAAATCTGAATTCTGTAGTCCATGATTATACTGGGTGCACTTCTGGAGAAATGAAAATTATGGAACCACAGTTTTTTTTTTAGGTTGATAGCAAAATTAAGAGGAAGGTACAGAGATCTCTCAAATACACCCTGCCATTCCCCAGTGTGTGTGTGTGTGTGTGTGTGTGTGTGTGTGTACAACAATTGAGGAACTTACATTGACACATCAAGCTCACCCATTACATTCAGGTTCACTCAGTGTACATCCTACAGGTTTGGACAAATATATAATGATGTGTTAAGAGAATTTTCATTTAAACATATTTGAATTTATTTATCGTGTTACTGTTTATAATGATAAAGTTTCTTCCTTGCTCTCTTCCAAAGACCTTTTCACTTCCTGATAAAGAGGAGCAAAGGTCACAGATTGATGGAGTGTGCCTACTTTTTGTAACAGTAGGCTGTGTGTCTTTTTTCACCCAGTTTCTGCAGGTAAGGAATTTCATTTTTCATTAAGCGATCTAGATATTTTCCCTCCTCTTTATGTTAAAGTATCACTGAAGACTCCTTTATATTTTAGGGATATACTTTTGCTAAATCTGGGGAACTCCTCACAAAAAGGCTTCGTAAATTTGGTTTCAAGGCAATGGTAGGACAAGATATTAGCTGGTTTGATGACCTCAGAAACAGCCCTGGGACCTTGGCAACAAGGCTTGCTACGGACGCCTCCCAAGTTCAAGGGGTAAGCTCTGGCCTGTCTTAGTCCATTTGGGCTGCTGCAACAAAATACCTTAGCCTGAGTAGTTAATGATAGAAATTGATTCCTCATGGTTCTGTAGGTTAGGGAGTTCAAGATCAAGGCACCTACAGATTCAGTGTCTGGTGAAGGCCCATTCTCTCAGATTCCAAGATGACACCTTCTCCCTTCATCTTTACCTAGCAGAAAGATCTAAGGGGCTAGGATTAATGGCATTGACTCTTATCATGAAGGCAGAGTCTTTATAACTGAATCGACTCCCAAAGGTCCTCATCACTTAATTCTACCATAGTGAGGATTAGGCTTCAATATGAACTTTGGAAGGACTTGTTCAGACCATAGTAGAAGGAAAACCAGAGGCATATTAACTGGTGCAGATGTTCTTACCATTGAGCACTGTGATAATCACTTAGGTGCTTTTTCTAGAATAGGAACTACTGGGATTGGGTAACCCAGAGCCACAACTCCCACCATTTCTAACACTGACAAACAGCAGCTGAAGCATGGTGTCTGCGTCGAAGTGCCTAGAATCAGTGTTAGAGCACAACTCAGTTTGTCAGAGTTGGGCATTTCCTTTGAAATGCCAACTAAGAAAACTTTTCCTGAGACTCCTTTCTCAGACTACTTTCAGGCCCAGAATCTTAGATTCCCCCAAACCCGATAGCACACTGCCCTCCACCTAAAGGTTTGGAAGCAAATGGTCAGTGGGAGACTCTGCTTAGGTGGCTGCTGTGATTATTAGTCTTAAAAAAGAGAGGCTGTCCTGAGCCCTCTCTGAAAGTTCCCACTTAGGAAACAGGGAAAGAAAGAAATGGCTGCAATCTGGAATCATACAGCCTTCACAGCGCTGTTTTTCTAGGAGATGCAAAGAGCTTTCTGGTTTCTAAATCCCAATATCTGCAGCCTTATTCAAGAGACGGGCTGCATGTGGGCGAGAGGAGCCTGGGCCTTTATCAAACCAGGTATTCGGATCAAAGCAGTGAAGCTAAATTTACCTCACAACACCTCTCTCCACTCAAAATGAAAATGAAAAAGCAAAAGCAAAAGAGAGACTGTGATTTTTAAACTAAACTGTGGTTTGTGAAACTCTTGGGAGAAAATAAACTCATTAGATGGATAGCCCTGCACTGTAGTGAGTCTCAATTCCTAGCAAGTTCAACAAAAAATATTGAAAATGGTATGGGAGAATTTCAGTGGACATAGAATCCTCTAAGAGGAAAATCCCTAGAAACATTTATCTTTTGATCTTTCGAGGCTTTTTCCACATATCCTTGTGTTTTCCACAGACTTGGCATCATATTTTAGTCCTTTGCAATTTGTCTGTATTCCTCCTCTCAAAATCTGATGTGAGCATTCTTTTATCATTATATATTTTGTCTACAGTACATTTTAAAGATTGCACAATACATCATTTTAGTGTGCTCTCACTTCTTTTGATCCTTATTATTGTCAATACTTATTAATTATAGAAATTGATGAGATTCACTATATTGCCATGCAGGCATACATCGTGCATTGGTCAGGGGTCCATCTACTCTTCTCCTACCACCCACCCAATCCCACCACTCTTGCTTCTTCCTACTGATCCCCTTCCACTTCCAGGCTGACTTTCTTCTGTTTGTTTCCACACATGAGAGGAAAGATATGATACTTGGGTTTCTGGGTCTGGCTTATTTTATTTAATATATTGTCCTCTGCTTCCATCCATTTTGTTACAAATGACAGGATTTTATTCTTCTTTATGGCTGAATAATATTCATTGGCTAGATATGCCACACTTTATTTATCCATTCATCTATTTCATATCTTAGCAATTGTGACTAATGCCACAGTAAATATAGGCATGCAGGTATCTCTTTTTAGTGCTGAATCTATTTCCTTTGGATATATAACTAGGAATGGGCTAGGTGAATCATTAGGTAGTTCTAATTTTAGATTTTTAAGGAGCCTTTACACTGTTTTCCACAGTGGCTGCTCTAATTCACATTCCCACCAACAGTGTATAAATGTCCCCTGCGCCACACACATCCATGCTAGCATTTGTGTTTTTTTATATATATATAATAGCCATTCTGACTGAGGTGAGATGGCATCTCAGTGTAGTACTGATTCACATTCCCTAACAGTTAATGATATTGAGCATTCTTAGCATATCTATTGACCATTTATATGTTTTCTTTTGAGAAGGGTCTATTCAGATCATTAGCCCATTTTTAAATTGGATTTTTGTTGCTAAGATTTTTGAATTCTTCATATATGCTGGGTGTTAGCCTCTGTCAGATGAATAGTTGGTGAATATTTTTTCCCATTTTATAGATTGTCTCTTCACCCTACTGATTGTTTTCCTTCGCTGTACAGAAACTCTATGCCCATTAAACAGTAACTTCTCATCCTGCCCCTAGTCTCTGCTGACCACTATTCTAGTTCCTGTCTCTATGAATTTGACTGCTCTGGTGCTGCATAAGTGGAATGATATAAAATTCTTTTTTATCTGGCTTATTTCACGTAACATAATTTTTCAAGATTCATCCTTGTTATAGCATATATCAGAACTAAATTCCATTTTATGGTTAAAATACTAATTGTATGCTGGTATAATGTGTAACCGAAATGTCCTCCAAAGGCCCACTTATTAAAGGATTGGTTTCTAGCCCATGGCACTCTTGGGAGTTGGTGAAGATTGAAGAGGTGGGGGCCTCACCGGAAGAAGTTAGGTCAAGGGGGACATGCCCTTGAAAGGAAATAGGGATTCTCATTCTCTCTGTCTCTGTCTCTCTCTCTCCTTTCTGGTCTCCATTCTCCATAAGATGAGTAGATTCCTCCATCATGCATGTACTTCCTCCATGATGTATTGTTTCACCACAGACTCAAAAGTAATGGGCTAACCAACCATGGGCTGAAACCTCCAAAACTTTGATCCAATAGAAACCTTTCCTCCTTTTAAAATTGGATTTTTTACAGTAATAGAAAGCTACATTGTTTAGTCATTTATTCGTTAGTGGACGTTTGAGTTGTTTCTACCTCTTGGCTATTGTAAATATTACTACTATGAATATGACCATACAAAAAAAGAAATTTTTAATCATGTTTTACTCCTGTCTCCAAAGGAGTTAGTAGTGATGCATGGGGACTCTTTGTAGCACAAGTTCTTATTCACACATTTATATCTTCAATACAATATAAAGATGTACATTATTCTTTTTTTTTTTTTTGGTACCAGGGACCGAACTCAGGCCCTTGAGCCTGCAAGGTAGGCGGCGGCACCTCTGAGCTAAATCCCTGGCCCGAGGTGTACATTATTCATGAATAACACTGCCTGGGCACTTAATGGTTATCAACAGTTTTTAGTTGTTTTACATTCTTTATCTTTAAAATGCTGATGTGTCTACAATTTATTAAGAAGTCATATAATTGTACCCACCCAAATGTTTTCTACACAGAGTACACCAAACTTTGGTCACTGAATAGCTGCAATGGAAACAAAGACTTAGAGCCATTCATCAATATGCATTATTACCACAGTAGTCCCAAGTATACTGAGACTGAATCTGTTTTTATTCATCTACTTTTACTTAATAGCTGTTCATTAAGATAGCATGTGACTTTGTGCCACTGAACAGGCTAACTTTAATAAGAATCAAAGTAATATTTCATTACCAATTTCAACTTCAAAACTGAAATTATAGAGTAAACATTCATTTTTCATTGAATAATAAGTGGTTTAGTCATAAGCAAGTGCATAGGTGCCTGAGACATATGTGGCCCATGCTTAAGACTGTTCTAGCTCTGATACCCATAAAATGACCTTAGTCGATAGCTAAACTCCCAAGAAGCTGTGAATAAAGTAGATATTTTAAAATCTAGCTTTCAAATACATTAAGAGATCTCAGCACTTAAAAGAATCTACTTTCATAAACAAAGATCTAGCATATCACCTAGTAATTCCATTCCTAGGTTTATATACAGAAGGATTGAAAGGAAAGATGTGAACAGATATTTGCATACCAATGTTTATAACAGCATTATTCACACACCATAGCTAAAAGGTAATAGTACAACCCAAGTGTCTAAAATAAACAAAGTGTGGGTTATACCTACAATGGAATATATTCTGCCTTCAAAAGGAATGAAATTTTGATATACACTACTGTCTAAATGAGCCTTGAAAAGGTGATCTTAGTAAAATAAAGACCAGAAGGACAAATACTTTATGAGAAACCTAGAATAGGCAAATTTAGACAGAGACTAGAATGAAGTTACCAATAACACAGGGCAAGAAGGAGAAGGTTATTGTTTAATGACTGAAGAGTTTTTTGTGGAAGATGATGAAAAGTTTGGGGTATAGATGTGGTGGTCACACAACATTGTTAATGTTTTAAATGCCCCTGAATTGTATATTTAGAATGGCTAAAATGATAAATACAGTGGACTCAACTTACAAACTCAGTTGGTTCCCAAGGGCTGGTTGTAACTCAAGTTGGTTATAAGTCAACACAGCTGAGATCTGGATGTTTACCTGGGTACATGCTATAGATAGCAAGAGGTGGATGAATCTTTCATTAACCTAATTAACCTGGGTTGTTCATATCTCAGGCTGGTTGTACTGTTAAGTAAATGTTATGTATATGTTAAATAATAAAAAAAAGTCTATCTTTTTGGTATAAAATAGCCTTTTCACATAGCAGCATTTGATGAAAGAAATCATGTATCTGAGATGGGTTGGTTGCTTTGGTTTGCAGGCTGCCGGCTCTCAAATCGGGATGATGGTCAATTCCTTCACTAACATCGTAGTGGCCATGATCATTGCCTTCATCTTTAGCTGGAAGCTCAGCCTGGTCATATTGTGCTTCTTCCCCTTCTTGGCTCTATCAGGAGTGCTACAAACCAAAATGTTGACAGGATTTGCTTCTCAAGACAAACAAGCTCTGGAGAAGGCAGGGCAGGTAATCCTATGTATCTAATTTTCTGCTTATGGTTGAATGTCTGTGTGGCAAACTTTAAAATGAGGAGAGACTTAGGAAGCTGTGCACCCACAGACATGCACAATTAGAAACCTCCTACCAGCCTTTTGCATATGTGCCTCTGCCCAGAGTCTGTGACCAAAGAGCTAAATGCACGAATTTCAGCAGGTGAGGAGAAATAGTGTGGCAAACACAGAGGTTTACGTGTTCAATTTCCTCTAAAACAGTTATTTGCCCCACATCACAGTTTGTTGTATTCCCACTTGCAGGGGTGGATAGTTCAGTTTTCCTATTAGATTTTCTCAGTTTAATGGTTTCCCTGAATCTTGCGGTCCACAGAAGGAACTGGTATCTTTTTAAAGGCACACACTTTTTATTTTCACACTTCAGTGTCTGCTAGGCTCATGGCAAATGCCTTTTCCAAATAGAATCATGAGCTGCAGTTTAGGTTTTAGATATACTTAGGTGTTAACTATGTATTGTCAAAAGTCTATTCTAATTAGTATCTGGTCATCAAGGAGTAAATGAGTGAATGGTGGCGTCAAACTTGTCTGGTTAAAAAAAGTCACACCCACACATGCACACACTTACTCTTAACAAATTCAGTATAACCAAAGTTTTGTATATTTTCATGCAACAGTGGAACAGAAGTGACATTGCCCAATTAGGCAAAAGCCATGTTACAACTAATAGAATTTGAATTTAACTGACAAATAATCTCATGGTCCAGTTGGATTGACCTCTAGCAACTTCTCTGTATTGTCAGATGCTACTATTCCACCTCCTGTTTGTACCAAAGTCTGCCATTTGTACCAGATCTAATCCATATAGCAGTTGAAAGATCGCACAAAAGATTATTTCTGCTCTTTTATTTCTAATGCTCTTTCAATCTTCAGATTACCAATGAAGTCCTCAGTAACATCCGCACTGTTTCTGGGATTGGAATGCAGAAGAAGTTTATTGAAGCATTTGAGGCTGAGCTGGAGAAGTCATTCAAAACAGCCATTCGAAAAGCAAATGTCTATGGATTCTGCTTTGCCTTTTCCCAAAGCATATCATTTATTGCGAATTCTGTTTCCTACAGATATGGAGGTTACTTAATCCCTAATGAGGGACTCCATTACAGCTATGTGTTCAGGTGAGAAATATACCATCAAGGACATAAAAGAGCAACATTCTACAAAGGAGTTGCCTGGTTCTATCACTTAGCTTTTTTGCTGCCTAACAAAGTAGTCCAGGGCTGGGGATTTAGCTCAGTGGTTCTGCCGCCCACAAGACCAGAGTTCGATATCCGGTACCAACCCCCCCCCCCACCAAAACCAGAAAACCAAAGTAGCCCAGACTCCATGTTTTAAAACAACTAGGTTTTATTATTTCTCAAGATTGTGGATTACCCAGTAGTTTTTCCGGCCTGGGCTGAGTTAGTCAGGCTTCTGAGTATATGTCTGTTCCCACCTGGCCTCTCCAGCAGGTGAGTTTGTTTTCTGCACGAATGGTCTCAGAGTTCTAAGTGCAACAAAAGAAAGACCACACCATTGTGCAAGAACTTTTAAAGTCTCTCCATGAGTCACATTTTCTGATGTCTCTTTGGCCAAAGAAAGTCATATAGCCAAGCCCAGATTTAAAAAATAGAGAAACGGAGTTCACCACTTGATGAAAGGAGAAAAACAATCATTTTACAAAAGGATGCAGGATAGGATGAATTAATGTGATCATTTTTATGATCCACTACACTTGCTAATGCTGAGAAACTCCAGAGGCTTTGAATGAAATGGTTTATAGGTCTGTCATATTTGACTTCTACTCCTCTCATGAAAAGAGAGCAGATTTCCAGCTGACTTCACCTAGGTAGAAACAACATAGACCACACAGGGCCACTTAAGTTCCTTTCTTATAGCCAGAGACTGCTTTTCTCATAAGATCAGCTTTGAGTCCAGTTTCTCACATTTCCAGAGGTTAGAGCCTATGGATTGGGTGCACATGCATGTGAGGGGGGGGGCAGTGAGGGGAAGGCTTCAAGAAAAGTGGCTCCAATAAGAATTTGTCCTCTTGGCCTTCATTCACCAGCCATGAGTTCTTTTTCAGTTATTTTTTCTTCCAGTACTCTCTACTACTCTGCTATAACCCAATTCATCCAAGAAAGTCTCTTTTCTAAATATTTGATACTCAAAGCTACTATCCCAAATCAGAGAACACCAATTGTTGTCTTGTTTTTGTTAGTTTATATAACATTTTCCAGGAACTATTTGCCAACATGCAAAAATTGAGAGACTAAAGAAAACTCCCAATTCCTCGCTTTGCTTTAAAAACTAAAAAGTCATTGTCCATCATTTTTCATTTCATTTTTAATGCTTTCATTCCTTAAGCTTTGGAGCGGACTTCTGGAAATATTTGCATTTGCAACTCTGCTTATAAACTGAGGAGTAAGACACACAAAGACATTATCTGCTGCCCCTCACCTTTGCCCCAGGCAGGCTCTCAGTGAATAGGAGAACAGGTGGACAGTTTTGAGGACTACCTTTCACATCATAGTCTTTATAATAGTAAAGCAATTTCTCATCATAGTTATCACTCACTTATTTGTTCATTCATTAAATCCATCTTAAATATAGTTAGAGCTGAGTCAAGTAGAAGGGAACCGGCAGTAGTATCTTTCTAGTTTTGCCTGAAGCATGAATTCCATAGAGCTGATGCTTACATTGCCCATTATTATCTAATGTTAGAATTTTTAAAAAAATCAACCCAGGCTTTCAAGCCCCACTCCTTTTCAAAAAAGTAAATTTCAAAACTTTTCCCCCCTCAAACGCAAACAAATTTTAATAAGAAGCTGTTGTGGTAGAATCAGCATTTGGAGGTCTGAGGCCTACCCAGTTCAGATCATCCCTCACCCATTTTTCCATAGAACAGTTTGAAAACTGCCAATCTCTAACTCCCATGTGCCCGACAGGTCTGAAATTTCTTGCTCAAGACTACTTGGACCTTTCCTAGTACAATCAGGTCTAGACCCCCAAACTGTTGCCTGTTACACCATCACACCAGCCGTGCCCCAACCTCCATACCCTGGGTGTCTTTCTGATTGTAGGGTGATCTCTGCAGTTGTACTGAGTGCAACAGCTGTTGGAAGAACCTTCTCTTACACCCCAAGTTATGCCAAAGCTAAAGTATCAGCTGCACGCTTTTTTCAAATGCTGGACCGAAGACCTCCAATCAGTGTATATAGTAATGAGGGTGAAAAATGGGTAAGTGTTGAACCAGGAAAGTTGTGCATATGTATGTATGCATGTGTTTGCATTTGGTCAGACAATGTCACTCAGCTTCCAAATTTCTGCTTTCATTTATAGGCACCCAGAAGGGAGAGATAATATATTTATGATTGTAAATGAATGAAGTAAACCACATTAAAATCATTCATAAAGTTGGCATTTGAATAAGGCAACCATATGCCATTTTGTTAGTCCATTTTCTATTACTTTAACAAAATACCTGAGGCTGCTCAATGTATAAGCTTTGAGGTTTGGAAGGCTCAAAGTCCAACATCAGCCTCTGCTGAGAGCCTGTTAGCGACATCATCTCATGGTAGGTGGCACCACAGCAGAAGCCCATGACTAAGGGAAAGACCAGGAGAGACAGGAAGCTAGAGTGGGGAGGGGCAAGTCTCACTTTTTTATAATAAGCTTCTCTCAAGAATGAACCAGGGTCTAACAAGAACTACATTCATTTCTCCTGAGGGCAGTGCTCCCAGTGACTCAGTCACCTTGCACTGTGCCTCTTAAATGTTCAGCACCACTTCTCAACATCATGACACCAGGGACCAAGCTCCCAACACCTGGACCCTGTGTGGCAAACAGCATCCAAGCCATCGTGCCAATGAAGGCTGAAGTCTCAGTCATCTAAACCACATTTACTTCCAGAATAAATGAAGCCAGATGTCTTTTGAGACCTACCCAAACATCATGTTTTCTATTGATATTTTGGTATGAAATGTAGAAAAACAAGTTCTTCCTATCCAGTGATATTGATTGAACTCATATTCATCTGGGTGTGGGTTTTAGGTCATCTGAAAGTCCAGAAAATTAATTAAATCTCAACAAGAAATATTTTTTTCTTCTAATTGATGATTCCCAGAAGTGTTTTTAATCTTTCCTATTTTTTAAAATCTCCATATGTTCAAGAAAGCAAAACAAACCAAAACATTAGTATAGGTAAATTGAATTCTGGAATTTTTTTAATTGGTCAAATGACCCGTTTCTCCCTCAGCTCAATAAAAGCATAGTCCCTGTGTGGTTTATTAAATATCTAGAGTTCACATCTAGAGTTCATGATTCTGATAGTTTTAAACACCATAAAGTATTCACCTTTGCTGTACAGACCTGAAGTAACTTCCTCTCAGAGTCATTTCAAGTATGACGTTACTCTACTAAGTCTTTGGGGGAACAGAGTTGCTAGGGTTCCGATAGTGACTGGTTTCTGTGATGTTTTATCTTTAAGCTATTCTCTTCCATTCAGTGTGTAAAGGAATGGATGACAAGAAACTCTCCTTAGATTAGAATGGGAATGAGAGATCAAATGTCTTTACTTTTACTGCTCAAATGGTATGTAGATTTCGGTGCATTTTCAGTATTCTGAGCTCTAGTAAATGCATATATAATTCCAGTCCTCCCTCCCACAGGACAATTTCCAGGGGAAGATTGACTTTGTTGACTGTACATTTACATATCCTTCTCGACCTGACGTGCAAGTTCTAAATGGTTTCTCAGTGTCAGTTAATCCAGGACAGACCATGGCATTTGTTGGAAGCAGTGGGTGTGGCAAAAGCACCAGTGTTCAGCTGCTGGAACGTTTCTATGATCCCGATGGAGGGAAGGTGGTAAGGAATGCATATACTTTTGAGAATTGTTTTTTCTGCAAAAAATTTCTGTAAAAGTGGTCTCGAAGATTGTGCCTTGTCAGGCTCTCTCTAATGTGCTTGCTTTGGACACTTAGCCCAGTTCCAGCATTTGCTGGTTGACCTGATTCTACCTCCCAATTTCTATCATATTCTCCCCAGTTCCAGATGGCCTGCTGACCAGTTAGGCAAAGAAAATTGGGCACACCACAAAGCTGGAGATGAGTGTGTTTGGCACAAGCACTCACTCGTAAATGGAGCAGAAAGTGCAGATTAATCAGGAAACTAATGGCCAGGGATGGAAAAAGTGGGGGTGACAAGAGACACAATGATAAATGAGAAAGAAAGGAGACTGACCAGGAAAAATCAGAGAAAATCTCGGTTCAGGAAGCTTAAGCCCAAATAATATAAGGAGTTCAAATTGATAAAGCTTTGGCAAGGATTTCTGAAAATTTGGTGAATGGTTTTGTTGCTTCTTTCTTTCTCTTTTTTCTCCTTTTTTTCAAGTAATATATTAAAGGGTGGCAAAATCAAGTAATAAAAAAGGGTTTTAATAAAAGTAACATTGTTCTATATTTCTTTGCTGAAGGACAGCTATTTTAACCACTTGATGTTTTAAATCTCTCATAGATTACTTCTATGTCTCTAATATATTCATGCTACTATTTTCATGATTTAATAAATTTAGTCTCTTTGTTGACTTTTTTTGGGTTTTTTGAGACAGGGTCTTGCTACTGGTTCAGACTGGCCTTGAACTCACTATGTAGCCCAAGCTGACCTCAAACTCATAGCAATCCTCCTGCCTCAGCCTCTTAAGTTCTGGGATTACAGGTGTGCACCACCATGCCTGGCTTTGTTAATTTATTTTTAAGACATGGAAAGTTACCTTACCTTCATCATTCCTTTTTTTTACCCACTTCTCTCAATATAGTTACCGCATTTTAAAGTTTTTTATTTATAAATTTAACTAATACACTTTTATTACTTTTCTACCCAGTACATGATATCTCTTGAATTCTTGCTTTCTAAAATGAGAATGTTAACTATCCTATTTTTTTTATTTCTTGCTCCCCTCCTTTACTTCTCAAGTTTTAACTATTCTTTTATATTATCAAGAGTACAAAATATACATTGTTATAACAATATCATTCCTACTTTCACTTTAGGTTGATTCTAAAATTTCAAAATTAACAGCTTTTATTTTAATTATGTAAATATTGTTAATCTCACAATCAAGTAGTGAGATGTTATAGCATTATATATTTTTTCTTAATAGTTTTTACAAAAGGCCTTTTTTCTTGCCTTCTCTGCCCTCTAAATTTTTTGTTCTTCCAATGTCTGTTTTGCTATCTATTCTGAGGGCCATGCTTCTTTCCCTCATTTTTACCAAAGCCTGAACTAATTTCAACCCCTGCCTATTAAACATTTGTTATGCTATGAATTCTCAGCAATGTTTTCTTAGACCAAATCCATTATTTTTCTCATTCTCATAGCTTCTCCTTTCTTGGTTTTCACTCTAGTTTTGTTGAAGCACATCCACAAGTAGTTTTCTAAGAAATGGTTCAGAGTTATGAGTTTGAAGATGTTTTATTTTGCTTTGTACTTAATCAATAACTTAATCCTAATATTTTAAAGTGTCCATTCTAATTTTGCTAGAGAGTAGTAATTGTCATTGCAATGAAGATAGATAAAATTATGAAGAGAAACTTGAAAGAGGCAACTAAAGATTCTCTTGCATAAAGCAAGTAAGCAAAGAAACAGATATTGGCAGAATTAAGCAAGTTATGAAAGTAAGGAGCAAGAATTTATTGCTGTAATTTCTAATCACTTTGTTATTAATTTTAATGTAAAGATTTTAATTTATTTGAAAGAATTTGGTGATGGATGAACTTACAGAGCATATTGCACTGGAGATATAATCTCTGTAAGAAAAGGGCTCCGTTTCCCAAAGTGCCAGCTCTGTCATGCTCACCACCCAGGTAGATCGTGAACTCTGTGAGATGCAGGGACCTGAACGCATCATGTGTGAGCTCTCCAACAGCAGCGTGAATACTAAGTGTGTTTCTCTGAATGTGCACAGTGAGTGTTGTGATTACAGGTCAGAAGCAAGGCCCATGAAGAAATCATTGTTTGCTCGAATTTCATAAGCACAAAGTATTTTTGTTCTATCATTGTAAAACATGTCTACAAACATTTTTAAGTAGGACAATGCCACTTTATCAATTTTTAAAATTCTCTTTGCTCTTAGGGAAGCTACCAAATGCAGGTATTCAATATTTTCAACACTTAATTAGCTACCTAGGAGGTGTCCGGTACTCTCTGCAGGAGATTAAGGAGGCTGAAGTATGTCCTCTGTTTTCTAGGAGGTCACAATGCAGCACATCTACAACATTAGCAAAAAGCTCAGTTTCCAAGTGCTAAGTTGTGCTTTGCAGATACAAGTACAGTACTGTGGAAATCAAGTAGAGCAAGATGAGTGAGGAGTAAATATTATTGATGCATACCTTATTTTTTTCTGATACTGTTTGTTTTTTCCATTGCTTAGAAATTATCTAAAATGTAATTTATGCATACTAATATAATCTTTTTCTGAAATCATAGGGCTAGATACTTCACAGTTGTAAGATTCTTGGACTCTTTAGTGAACTAGCTCAAATGGTAGATATTTAAGTATCTACCCTTACCTGCCTTTTAGAATGTGAGTTTCTAGGAAACAGACGTTATGTTTTCTTTATGTAACAAATATAGTTTGCTTTGCATGGTATCTTTATGGCAGAGGTTCCATATATGATTGTTGACTGACTAAGTGAACAGTGAGTTTTTTCTTCCTTGGATTTGTTATCTCAGTTATTCAGAAAGCACTATCTGTAAAATCAGGAACACAGGTCGATCCTTATATGGCCCAATAACTTTGCATAGAAAAATCCTTTTCATAACTCAGTGCTTCGCAATAGAACAATTCTGGATACTTACAGAGATAATTCTGCTCCAAAGTACAAAGAGAATTTTTCAAACTAAATATCATCCTGAGTGTCTTTTTAGACACTGTACCACCTGTTGAACTAAAATTTGGGAAAAGTGGACAAAACTATAGTCTGATCAGTGTTACAGTCACTCTTGACAGACACCAGTTCTAGAGGTCAGAAACAAAAAAGTTCATTCCTCAGGGCCCGGGAAATGTTGCTTCTTAGGTGAAACAAATATCCTGTATACCACTCAGCTCCAGAATATGAACTTCCCTCGCTGCTGGACTTCTAAAGCTTTGTGCCCTTTGCCATCCTTCCTATTGGCAGATGATAGACGGACGTGACAGCAAAAGAGTGAATGTCCAGTTTCTCCGCTCAAATATTGGGATTGTTTCCCAGGAGCCAGTGTTGTTTGCCTGTAGCATAAAGGACAACATCAAGTATGGGGACAACACCAAAGACATTCCCATGGAAAGAGTCATAGCAGCTGCAAAGCAAGCTCAGTTGCATAACTTTGTCATGTCACTCCCGGAGGTGAGTACCAGGCCTGTCATTCCCTGTAGGAGATAGAGATGGGGAGAGAGGTAGAATGGCCAAATGGATCATGATCATAATTTCAAGGAGGGGTTTAAAGGCAATACAATTTATTTCTCCATGTCCTGGTATTGTCTTAGTCTTTCAATAAGTGTCCTTCATTGGACAGAAAAATGACTATTTGCTGCACTCGAAGCTGAACAACAAAGCTTGTGCGTGCCTGGAAGATCTACTTATTGCCAGATCTTTACTGAACACTACTCATGTTGTGCAAGAATTGGCTTAAAGTTGGTTTATTGCCTTTTTCCTAGACTTACCCCTAAAAATACCCTTCACTGAGCACCTCATCCTCACAAAGATAAAGGAGGTTGTCATGGGTCTTACCTGGCTTAGCTGAGCATCTGTCGGGAGGCAAGAGAAGTAAACAAACCTGATGTAGAAGGCAGGATAGAGTAGTGGTCAAGGGCAGACTCAGAAGGTGTATCTAACACCTGATTTAGATTTCACTTTTGTTGCTTATTTGTCTTTGGACAAATTTCTTGCTTCTCTAAGTTTTATAATTTGTAAGATAAGGAGACTATAGTTTCTGTTAATATTAAATGATGTCCTGGCATAATCCTTGATGCTTAATAAATATTCTGTGACTTTTAACTATTAATGTAGCCATCCCAAATGTCTCACTAGAAATTTTTCTTCCTGATTTCATCAAAAATAACAAATGTCTGAAGTAGAGAGTCATACTGCATTTTTCAGATGAGTTTGCAGCCCAAAGAAAGTTAAATAAGTTGTATAATCATAGAGCTTGTAAGTAGCAGAGTGTAATTTCAAACCAATATTTATGTTCCAAAAATATCATTGTTCCAATAAAGAAGGGAACCAGAGGTCTCTAAAAAGGCATTTCCATTCCTGAGATTATTCCCTTTGGAAAGATCTTCCAGATAAAGAGTCTGGAGATTAGATAGTCTCAGATCAAGGAGGATCTCCCATACACGTTCTTACCTGGACACTGGGAGAAAGAGACTGAAAATATAAGCCTAAAAGAATTGCAGACATGGGTGATAAAATTCCCTTGTTTCTCAGCACAACGTTTATATTTTTCTCATATTCCCAAGTGGATTTGATATCCTTTATAGGGCTCACTCAAGTCAAAAAACAAGAAATAAATTTACACTGAAGTCTTTGATGGGGGCTCCATACAGCACAGGACCAATGACTATTTCTAGTTCTCAGGCTTTCCAAACTTTTTCCAGAAATATGAAACTAACGTTGGGGCCCAGGGTTCTCAACTCTCTCGAGGGGAGAAACAGCGCATTGCTATCGCTCGCGCCATTGTGCGAGATCCTAAAATCTTGCTACTTGATGAAGCCACTTCTGCCCTAGACACAGAAAGTGAAAAGGTATGTATTAATTTTCTGATGTGTTAGATCATTATGAGTGAATCTTTTGCTATAAAATTTGTCCTTAGAAAATGGTACTATTTCCAATTTTTCTGATTCATTAACAGTAGATATTGGCAATACTTTGAGAAAGCAAAAGACAATAATCTGAAGAAAATCATTTAACATAGGATTGCTTCAAATAAAATTTTTAACTCATTGTCTTTAAGATTCTTTAGGCTATGTGACATTTTTTCACAGGTAATTAAATTTCTTAAAGTAAAATAATTTAGGTCACCTGGAAGATGTAACATGTTTTATTGTTACTGAGTTGAATGACAGAGCATATAAGCCACATATAACACAAAGAAGAAGGTGGTATATGATATGCATGAGAGGAGATCCAATTGAGAAAAACACAATTATGAAATCCAAAATTTATGACTATCACTTTAGAAGTCAGGATTCCATTTTGGAGCGAGCTAAATGTCCTTAGTGAAGAAAAATATCAGGAAGGACCATTAATTTCCCCCCTACATTGTTTCCTTGATTTCATTTTAATAAACTAGACCAACTACTGTAAAATTAAATGGTGGCTTCATACTTTGGTTTATTCTCACTTCACTGAAGTTTATCTGCCTGTGAGCTGCAATTTAAATTATTGATGCACTGAATCAGAAAAACACTTGCTTAATCCTCTCCTATACTGAGTCTTTGGATTTACCACTACGTATGTAATTGTCACTCACGTGATATTGAAATAGTCTCATTATGGTGGGCTGGAGACAATCATGTGTCTACAACAACTTTCCATCCTCTTTTTGCAGACAGTGCAGGTTGCTTTGGATAAAGCCAGAGAAGGTCGGACCTGCATTGTCATTGCTCATCGCCTGTCTACCATCCAGAACTCTGACATCATTGTTGTTATATCACAAGGGACGGTGATTGAAAAGGGAAGTCACGAAGAACTGATGGCTCAGAAGGGGGCCTACCACAAGCTGGTCACTACTGGAGCCCCCATCAGTTGACCTGACTCAAGAACTTCATGCATCAATCATGCACACAGTACAGGTGTGCTTCAGGTTGTTGCATTTTTAAGGAGCAATGTTGATAATCCTACCTTTATAGACATGGTTACACACTGGGATCCAAGCTAATTTCTAATGACCTTCAATAATAATTCAGTTTGAGATGTTCATGTAGAAAATGAAAGAAACCAGGGTCCATGTGAGTAAGAATCCAAAGTGGGAGAAGCCTGTGACCATCTCATTTTGGACCACAGATCCCTAGAAAGGCTAAGGATGTAAAGTCCTCAGTCCTTCTGGAAGGTGGAGAGAGCGGGGACAGATGAGGCTGAAGATAGCATGGGCTGGAAACCTGAGACAAAGCAGAGGTGCAGAGCCCCTGCCGCAGGCTGCTGTTCTTGCCCAGTACCAGCAGAACCACAGCTGCTCCCTCTCCAGGGGAGCTCACAAGTAGGCTGCGTATAAGGACATGAGGTGCGGTTGAAGGAGTGGCTGACACAGAGGAGATGGGGTTGAGTGTAGGAAATATATGAACCATCCTCCTCTGGCAGGAGATTGAAAAATGAGGCTTGAACTATTGATGGTTGTCATATTGAGGAGGAGGAGGGTAGAGGAATTCAGTCTAGTTATGAAAAATGGCAGTGCAGTAGCTTGCAGAATATAGATGCCTACTAGAAGGAATTAAGCTAACCATGCTTATCCTCTATCTTGAAAAAAAAGGGGAGCTAAACTCTGCTTGTTAAGTGAATTTTCAAAGAGGAAAACTTGGACTCTGTCCTGGGAGGTTACCAGTTTCCTAGAAGGGAATTTATGTGGTGTGAAAAGGCAGTGAATGAGTTAGTTATCTTTTCAAATAAGGGACCTGAAAGTTATTTATGAAAGGAGAAAGACTGACCAGAGAGAATGTAAAAATGATTTGAGAAAACAATCGCTTTTTAAGACTTAGTGACTAGGAAGAAGATTCCAACTTCAAAAATGAATAAATAAAGTTGTGTGTTTATTTTGTAATGCCAGGGGGTGTCAGTGTCTCCGTTTTTATCCTGTTTCTTCTGCCCGTCATTGACAAAGATTTGGTCCCTGCAGTTTTACATCATTAGTATTTCTCTTATGGACAAGGTATTGGCTTAATTTATTTTTACATTAATCTCAAGTCTTTTTAATTTCCTAATGTTTTTATGTTCTGTTTGTGCTGGGATCAAACTTTCTCTGTAACCTTAGTTATTTATATATATATATAGATATATAGATATATATTTTTAAAAGTTACAGAAGAAGAAAAAATAGGAGGATCAGAAGTTAAGTGGAGGAAATTTCTCTGAAGGTAAAATGAAAAGATGGTTATAAAAAGTAGGAAAATAGAAAAGAAAAATTTAGAGGGGCAATTCTGGGGTGCAATAATTAGGTAATAACAGCTAGCTAATTATTAGCTAATAGCAGTTATCTAATTAATGTAAGTAATGGCAGTTCCAAAGAGTTTAGAGAAAGCCGAGAAAGAAATGTTTAAAGACATAGTTCCAAGAACATTTCCTATAGTTGAAAGGTCTGGCACATTATTATCAAATTTTAGAAAATTGGGGAAAGGGAGAAGGTACTAAAATTTTCCAGGAGAGGAAAACATGTTAGAGATAATAGGTAAAGAATCATGAGGGCATAGAAGCTCTTGACAATAAAACTAAAAGAAGTTATAACAATTTGTCTTCTGATTTCTTAGGAGAAATTTTTCTATTCCCAACAAATTATTCTTAATTAAGAATGAGAGGAGTCTAGAAATTCTGAGTTACACAAGGTCTCAAAACTTTTCCTCTCTATGCAACCACAGAATAGGATTTCCCTACAGTCAGAGAAAACAAAGAGATGGTTGTGGGACAGGTGATATAATTAAAAAATGAGCCGATAGGAATCTCCAGGGTGACAGGAAGGACAATCTGGAAAACAGGTGCCAGGTAAGCATAGCAAGCAGTCAGTGCCGATGATAGCAGGGCAGTGGGATTTGGAAGGGCTGTCTCCCGGAAGACATGAGGCTGCTCAACTACCTGGTGGGTTGGAATGTGCAGCGGAGACGTAACCTGACAGAATTGGGGGTAAATCAGTAATGGGTAATGGAACACGCGCGCGGATTCATGGATACATGGGTGTGTGGGGGACTAGTTTTTAGCTTTGAAGGAAAAGAAAATTATACAGAAAAGAAATATATTTATGTCACACTGCATGATTCACCTGATTATATTATTTATAAAGTCATATCAATGTAAGTGCTTATTACCAGTCTAAATGAAAATCACAGGTTATGGAAGTGAGAAGAAAATACATGCAGAAGATTGAGGATGGGCTAGGACGTGGATATAAAAGACCTAGATCTTCATTTTCATTCATGTTTCATATGAGAACTAAATAGTTAAAATGTCAACAAACAGCAACAACACATCTAAATGTATGTCTTTGTACTTATTTGCATTTTAACTTAGTATGTCCAAAATATTACCATCACAACATGTAATCAATATAAGAATTATTACTGAGATATTTTACACTATTTTATTATACTAAATATTCAAAATCTGATATGTATTTAGATTTAAAGTGCATCTTAGTCCAGAGTAGGCACATTTCAAGTTCTATTTGCACTATTCACCTGGTTGAGTTGACAAAAGGAAAAGGACTAAGCGTATTTAATATATCAAAACATAACTATTAAAACTGCCATATCATCTAAACTCCCTGAGGCTTTCTTCCCAAAACAAATTTTGTACCATTGTAAAGATTGTTTATATTTTTTCTATTACTCTTTATGAAAAATCAGAACAACACATTTTCCAACTTCTTTTGAAAAGAAACACTCAGTCATCCCAAAATTTTAAGGAAGCAGATGCTCATAACCTAGAAATGCTATTTGAGAATAAAAGTAGAAAATTTGGCCTCTATATTCTTTCGTCTAAGACTTTTTCATACAGTTGCTCTAGGTCTATTCCATTATGCCCACAGAATTTCTTTCCATGAAAAAACACCTCGAATTAGTGTTGCACTCATGCATGCAATTTTTGTCAATTATGTACTCATTTAAAAATGTACATCCTGGAATATTTTGATTTTTTGAACCAATAGAATAAAAAAGATAGGATCCTTCTTAGGTATAGTTTGTCAAGAATTAAATGTATATTTCCCTTCCTAAGCGGTTACCAGAACATTGCCATCAGGTTGGTTTAGGATCCTGCCTCATATTTCCAACTGAGGATTTGATTTATTAATTATCTCTTATGCATGTATCATCCCTCTGTAATCAGGTCACATAAGGACGTTAGTAGAGATTTTCAGAACAGCAAATTTTATTGCTGTTCCCAAGCACATTTTGAGATAAATTTATATTTGTGTGTTTGCTACTGTAAAACAAGTACTATGTCCATTTGTATTCTCTCCAAATTTCCAGGTCTAGTGAGTAATCTCACCTGTACATCAAGTGGCATTTGAAACTAACTTCACCAAACTTCTAAACTCAATTCTAATTTCCTTCACACTGTGTTCAATTAAATGCCCAATTACTTTAAACAGATACACTGTAAATAAAGCAATGCACATGATTATCATCTAATTAGCACTGGCCAGCATTATAATGTGCTCATTAGTGAGTTGTATGGTGTCCTAAGGTTCATAATGAGGAATTGGTGCATATGATTGGCATGTAGCTGCGTGGATGCAACTACTCAACCCAATAAATCAGAGCTGGGACAAAATGTGCCACAGAAAAAAGAAGGAAGAATACATAAGCAGCTGGTGAATTGACAGTTTCCTCCTGTCTATAACTCAGGTACTTCTACTCTCAGACACAAAGAGTTAAATTCAAGAAAAAAAGAATAGCTGGAAATAGAAAAGAAAATGCTTACCCCAAGTGACACAGAACAAGTACTTACAATTATCATGAAAGAGTACAGCAAAGAGAAAACATCTTTGTGCTCTCTTACAGGTTGCAAGTATGAATTTCTAATTATGAAGCATAGACTCAAAGTAAAGATGATTAATATCTTAAAATTTCTTGAAAGTTGAAAATTCAAATAATCACTTCAATGAATGATAAAGCATTTTATAATTTAGAAAGGGTTTGGCCTTCATAATTTTAGTATGCTATTGTGAAAGCAGACTACAGGGAAGGGATACAAGTATAAGTTGCATTCTTTGATATATGTGTGTGTGTGTGTATATATATATATATATATATATATATGAAGTCACTAGGATAGATGTTGATTGACTTGCTATACACCTAGTCCTATACCCTTTCTTTTACTTCCCTCAGTTGCATAGGCTGGAAAGTAAGGTATTTACCTTCCCAGCTTCCTTCGTAGCTAAAGACTCAATTTGGCCTATGAAACATAGGTACAGTCCTGGGTAGAAAAATAGCCTATTTCTCTTCCCATCCTTTTCTTTCCTGGATGCACAGCTGCTATGCTATAATCCTTTGGACAGAATCTACAATGGATTGCAGAATAGGAAGACAGACTGAGCTTGATTTCTGGACATTCCTCAGCCAGTGCTCCAGCCCTGAAGATGGGAAAACCTTCAGCCACCTGGTTACAGGAGAAGACACCTCTCACTTGTGTAAACCACTGAAGTAGATTTTGTAGTTGTTGCTAATTAGGGATTAACATAATCTTAACAGATACAGTTAAATTTTTATTAGTAAAAATACTGAAACAAAATATACAGAAAATAATGCAATGTTGAAGTATCTATGTGTGCTTAAATGACCTTCAAGTAAGACTTCTATATTTAAAAATATTCCAAAAATGTATTTATTTATTATTTTTTTGGTACAGGGGATCAAACTTGGGACCTTGCGGTTGCAAGGCAGGTGCCGGAACCACTGAGCTAAATCCCCAGTCCCACCAAAAATAAATTTAAAGAAAGAATTAATCTATCTTTTTTCAAATATCTCTGCTATGGAGAGGAAGTTCAAAGTCCTGGTTGCTAATTCTAGTGGTTTTCCTGTATCATTCTACATCCTCTGCTCTAAATAAAGGAAGCTACTAATATGCATTTGGTGTGTTATGACTATGATGATCACGCTTTCTCATCTTTCCACATGACAAATTGGGGTTAGACTAGGAACAATCTGGATTCCATTGGCAGAATATGACCAGAATTGAAAAGAAAGTGGTTCAAGAAGAGAATTAATTTTGAAAAAAGTTGGTTAGAAAAGATGGAGAATCATGTTACCAGTTAATTTACAGCCAGGTACAGCCTCAATCCGGTTCATCTGAGCCCACCAGCAGGTCTCCCTGAAGCCCACCGAGAGCTGCAGCACATGAGACTGGAACCTATAGGAATCCTGCCAGGGAAGTTTATGAGCTCATCCTTGCATCTCAAGCATTTGATAAATGTCAGGTAAGAATTAGGAAAGAAAGCCCTATTTGAGCCAGAGAAGATTTTATAAATTGACAACTACATTTCTAATTTTCATTTATATCATTTATCATGTCCTCAAAAATCTTGGTATCATTTACTGTTTTTATAGAGTTGTATTGCACTCAAAAACCATATTTCAACAGCTACAAAGGATTAAAATGGCAACTTTATCTTCATGTCTTTGAGAGATCAATAATCAGTGCACAACAGACTTACCAAAAAAACTATTTCAAACTTGTCACTTTCCTCACAGAATATAGTTTCTTTTTTTTTTGTATTAAATTCCTTTATTGGGACATTGTAGGTATACAACACAATTACATTTCTCATTGGGAATTGTACCTTTACATAATGCATCTTGGTTCTTATTTTTTCCCCATTCCTAGCCCTCCTTTCCCCCCTCCACCCTTCCCTATTTACAAAGACTTTATTTCCATTTTTTCCATTTCTCATCATTTTTCCTTTCCCTTCTTTCCTTTCCCCTGCCCCTCCCACTACCTCTACCCCTTTGGACCTTTGCTTCCTATTTTACATTATCGATTATTCATTCTAATCATTGGTACATTTTAGGTATACAATATAATGACATTGGAATATAGTTTCTTAAACACTTCCA